CCCAGCGTTGATTACTAATGCCTGTTGCCTCTCACACTGCAGCTAAATTCTTTGTGTTTTAAGGAAGATTTAAGACATCTGAAGCCGAAGCAGTCGAATATTTAATTGGGGAAGTCTGGCTGTGTGTTCTGGGAGTTCTTTCTTCCCTGCAGTTTTCTGTAGGTGTGAGGTGTTTGCAAAAGCTCTGGGCTCTGGTCTGCAGCCTCTGCTGGCCCCAGTCCTTTGCCCAGCCAGGACCCACATCACACAGGTGGTCTGGCTGCAGGGACAGGGCTGTGGCCGATTCACTCCCCAACACTCATGGAAGACTCGGGACACTCTCCTGCTGCGGCAAGTGGGTCCAGAGGCGCCTGGTTCCCCAGGGAGAAGGGCTTAGTTAAGAGAGGGAGGGCAGGCAGCCTGATGAGCAAACAGGCTGCCCTAGGGCCCTGGGGAGTGAGCTGGCTGAATGGCCAACTATGTAATTAGCAGACGTCTGATGCAGGAGCCAATATGTGACTGCCCACACTGACCCGGTCTGGCCAGGGGCAGCTCTGAGTGTTCTGTTGGCCTGTGTGTCCTGGTTCTGGCAGCCAACCAGGCCCACTGGGCTCCCGGAAATGTGGGTGATGTGCCTGGACCGTCAGGAAACTCTCAGGCTCCATGGGCTGGGCCCCTGGCAGCCAACATGGCCTGGCCTCACCTCTTCTCCACCCTCACTCAGCAGGTGGGAGCATTGAAGCCAAGGCTGGTGGGGCATCCTGCCTGGGGTAGCTGGGGACTTCCATAGTCAGCCATGCTCCAGAAGGCAGTTTTGTGGATCTTGGATCACGGCTGACAGCACCATCCAATATTTGGAGAAGAAACTCGTGAGGTTTCCTCAGTCACAGGACTGGCTCCCACTCCTGTTTCCATCAACCATGGTGACGGCCCAGGCTGTGTCCACCCCACTCCCACTAACATTAGGTGATGCTGTCCAGGCTGTCCAGTCCACGGCCACCAGCTGTGGCAGGAGGTCAGGCCTGCTGGAAACAGCAAAGACAGAACATGCGTCCATCCATCTACTCACTCACTCACTCATTCATTCATTCATCCTTTTCTTCATTCATATAATTATTTGTTTGTACAAATAACAGAAGGCCCAGCATGTACCAAGATCAATAGCCAGGACCCTGTCCTCAGGGAGCTGTCTATTAAGGTTCAGAGGACCTCACTCTGGCCACTACTGGCTTGTTTGTCTCACATTAGTGTCACTCCAGTTGTGATTACTGGTGCTTGTCTTTCTCCACTGCTTTAGTTCACCTCCTTAAGTCTTTCTAGTTAAACTGGGTCTCTTGTAGACAACCTGGAGTCAGGCCTTGTTTTTTACCAACTCTGACATTCTTTGTCTCTCCACTGTTATGTTTCAATCATTCACATTTAAAGCTATTATGAAAAAAAAAAAAAAGCGATGATGACGGAGTTGGGCTGGTGTCTATCATGTGTCTGACTGTTCTCTGTGGGTTCTGCATGTTCTTTGTTTTATCCTCCTTTTCTCTGCTCTCTCTGGTTTCTTTCAGCCTTTATTATTTTGCTTTCATTTTCATCTCTTTTCTAAGTGTATCAATAGCATTTTTTAAATTGTTTCAGTGATTGCTCCAGAGTGTGCAATATACATTTTGCATATGCTGCAAGTCTTTATTAACAGACTACTTGAGAACAATTTTAGATTAACAGAAAAATCTGAGCAGAGAGTAGAGGGGAAATAGAGGTTTTTAATCTAATCTAAGTTCACTTTCAAATACCACTTCCGTTTTCCGAGGAGCACAGGGACTTTAACAGAGGTCCCCCTCCAACCTCCCGCCCCTCAGGGTCTGGCCATCACTCCCTCCCCTTACCCATGTGCCACCACCACATATAATCCACGGAGAACAGACACGTGGCAGACACCAGCCCAACTCCATTATAATTGCTTTATTATTTTTTCCATAAAAAATAACTATATCATTTTCCTTCTCCCTAAAGAACTTCATTAAACATTTTTTGTAGGGCACGTCTGCTGGTGATGAATTCTCTCCGTTTTTGTTTTTCTGAGAAAGTCTTTTTCTCCTACACTCTTGAAGGATAATTTTGCCAAATATAGACTTCTAGGTGGATTTTTTTTTTCTGTTACCACTTAACTACTTCACTCTCCCGTGTTCTTGCTTGCATGGTTTCTAGGAAAAACTCCACTGTAATTTTTCTCTGTGTTTCTCTCCAACTAAGGTGTCTTTTCTGCTCCGGCTTCTTTCACAGTGTTCTCTTTGTCTTTGGATAAGATCTACTTGGCAAGATCGAGGCATCCTGCTTTATGTTTTCTTAGATTCCTGGATCTGTTGTTTGGTATTTGGCATGGATTAGAAAGTTCTCAGCCATTACTACTTCAAGTATTTCTTCTGCCACATTATTTCTCTTCCTGGCTTTCTAATTATGCATGTTACACCTTTTGAATTTGTTCCAGTGTTCCTAAATGTTCTATTCTGTTTGCTTACTCCCCGTACTCCTTCCCCCTTTCTATATCAGCTTGAGGAGTTCCTATTCACCTACCTCCAGATCAGATTCATTCAGGTGTTTTCCTGGGCAGCATGTGTTCTACCGTTGAACTCATCCAAAGCATCCTTCACATAGTTACAGTGATTTTTACTCTCATTAAAACCGTTTTTCTGGGCCTCCCATGGTGGCGCAGCGGTTGAGCGCTGGGCTACAAAGCTGCCCGCAGCCTCTGCAGCACCAGTTCGATCCCCGGCCATTGGCGAGGGTCCCACATGGCACGACAGATTTCTCCTGCCTCGCCCGCTGCTCCCCTCAGCAGTGTATTTCATCACTCTGCATGTTCTGTTCCCTGCTCTGGCTCTGGTGAATTCTCTCACCCTCCCATGCTTCTGACTGTACCCAGTGCTTGTATGAATAAATAAATCTTTTAAAAAAAGAGAGAGAATGTCAACACTTTAAATAAATAAATAAATAAAACCGTTTTTCTTCAAGTTTGCGTCTCCGTTTACAATGGCTTTTGCGTGATAATCATAGTTCAAGTCCCTGCCTGATAATTCCAAATTCTATGTCTTACACTTGCAGTTTGGTTGCTTTTCTATTCAGATTGTGTCTTATTATTAATCATGCCTTGCAATTTTTTTTTTTCCTTGACAGCCAGACATAACATCCTGGGTAACAGGCTGGGGTAGGCGGGTGTGAGGCCATGTGCTAACCTGGCCAGGGGCTTCACTGGTTCATATTTGCTGTAGCAGTGGGAGCTACAGCCTCACATTCCCGGTGTCATTGTTCGCCTCTCCCGCTGTCCTTGAGACTCATCCCCTAAGAACTGCTCCTTGGCGAGCTGACATCTCGCAGCTCTCGCCACTGGTACAGCGCAGGCTTCCTGGAGAGAAACGTTCATAACCTTGTCCTGGTGCTGCTTCACTAGCATTTCTTGGGTTTGCCCCCTGAAGGGGTGGGAGTCAGGGAGGGCTTCCTCCAGGGTGGAGAAGGCTCAGGCAGTCTTTTCCCCTAGAGCCAGCCTTTGTAATGGCAAGCCAGGGACAACGGTCCCCCTCCCCCTGCAAGATCCATGGGGGCGGGGGGTGGGGAGGTTCTGGGGAGGTTTCTGGAGGTAAAATCAGAGAAGGATGCCTTCCTTCTTTAGGTGACCCCCACCCCACCCCAGGGTTTCTCAGAATCAAGCTAATTCTCACTCAGCTTCCAGCACATCATCAGCGAGACCACAGGGACCACTCACCTGCCTCAGCCTCCAGCGGAATCTGCCCGTCTCCCCGCATGTGAGGGCGGTGCTGGCCTGGTTCTCGCCTGGGTCTAAGCAGAGTGGTTGGTTTTCAATCTGTTCAGCCTTTTTATTTTCTTCTTCTTCTTTTTTTAAAGGTTTATTTATTTATGCATACAAGAACTAGGGTACAGGCCAGAGGTACAGGGGTGGGGCGGGGAGGGGATGGTGAGAAGATTCACCAGAGACAGAGTGGGGAGCAGAACAGGTGGATGCACTGGAATACACTGCTGAGGGGATTAGCTGGGAGACAGGAGAGGTCTGCTGTGCCTGTGGGTAGCTCCCTGGCTGGGATCGAACGTGAACTCATGCTGCAGAGGCTGCAGATAGCTTCACAGTGCTGTGCTTAACCCCTTGCACCATCAGGGAGGCCTTGTTCAGCTTTTTCTTAACTGCAGACAGGGGTGCAGGCTTCCATGCCCCTTACCTGTCAGAGTGAGAGGGGAGACACCTGGGTACAGGAAACGCTTGCCTGGGTAAGCTCCCCATCGGCACCAGCCTGTGTCCCTACTCTGTATAATGGGACCTGTCACCCAGGTGGGTGACACAGGGGAGCAGCTGGGGCAGCGGCTACAAGCCAGAGCTGGCTGGCCCCACCCCCACCCCTACCCCCATCCCCAGGAGACCTGCAGAAGTGGAGGAGCAGGCGAGGCATTCCAGCTGTGGGGAGTCTGTTGGCCCAGGAAGGGTAGGGAAGACTGGGGGGTGGCCAAGGGTGGACTCTGGCAGCTGGTGGCCGCCCCAACCCGCCCTCCAGGTTTCACTTCTCCCTGTGCTTCCCATCGGGGGCTTTTACCCTCCACCAGACTCCCGGGACTCTCTGCCCCTGGTTCCATCACATCCTCCCCAGCCCAGACGCAGGCACACTGGAGCGCAGGGGTCCAGGTCTGCGCCTGCCCCCTGAACCCCAGGGGCTCAAGGGGCTCCGGGGCAGGAAGGCAGGCCCCAGGCTGAAGCACAGTGGGCCCCTGGGGACCCAGGAGGCCCGGCCGCTCCAGGAGCTGCAAAGGCTCGGGACCAGCGCGAGGGGCTGCGCCTAGCGGGCAGGGCGGGTGGGCCGAGCTCCGATTCTGCCCGGCCCCTCCCACTGTCCCGCAGAGGTGACCCCCGTCTGAGGAGTCCCACGCTCCAGGGCTGTGGGCGGCCCCCTGTGCCGCCGCCGCGCGCCCGGGTGGGTGCCGGGGAGGCGGGAGGCGGGCGCTCGGGACCCACCCGGCGGGCGGCGCCCCGGGGCCGCGCGGGCCCGGGGTGCCTCCCCCCGGCGCTTCCTCCGCGGCGGGCCGGCGGGCGGCATGGCGGGCGCGCTCGCGGCCGGGGCGGGCGCGCTGCTGGCGCTGCTGGCGCTGCGGGCGCTCGGGGCGGCGGGGCACCCCCAGTGCCTGGACTTCAGGCCGCCCTTCCGGCCGCCGCAGCCGCTGCGCTTCTGCTCGCAGTACTCGGCCTTCGGCTGCTGCGCGGCGGAGCAGGACGAGGAGCTGGCCCGCCGCTTCGGGGCCCTGGCCGCGCGCGTGGACGCCGCCCTGTGGGCCGCGTGCGCCGGCTACGCGCTCGACCTGCTGTGCCAGGTGAGCGGGCGCGGGCGGGGCGGGCGCGCGGCGGGAGGGCGGGCGCTGCGCTGGGCACCGCTGGGCAGGGCGGGCGGAGGCCACTCCGCTGCCACGAGAATTGCGCGGGCTCTGGACCCGGAGCACCCTGGTGGGAGCGATTGCGCACCGCACCGGGTGCGGAGCTGGGCATTGCTTGGTGACTTGGGCCTTCTCTGGCCTCAGTTTCCCCTCCTGAAGCAGGACGGACGGGTGATGTCACCACTCCCTCAGAGTTGGGGGCTCCTCTGCCCTGGTGCCTCCTGGAGGCAGTCCCCGGTGCTGTCAGGGCAGGTGTTTGTGGGTTCGGTGCTCCCTTGAGGAGGGGAAGCTGCAGGGGCGGTGGGCTGCAGAGCCCTGCATGGCAAAGACTGGGCTTGGGTTGGTCAAGGGTTTTGGGAGACAACCCCAAGACCCTGACATGCACACTCAGACCCTAGGGGAGAGGGTTCTGCAGCCCCCACCTCCTCTGTGCTATGCCCGCTCCCTGGTATGGTGACCCCCCTCCCCCAGGGCTAAGCCTTTTTCACCCTTGGACCAGGGACAGGGACGTCCAGTGACATCCCTTTGGTGACACCTTTCTGCCCCATCTGCCCTCTGAGGGCAGAACCCAGCTTCTACCCTCACCAGATGGTGCCTTACTGTTCCTTTTCCTTCTGATTCCCAAGTACCGGGAACTTGGGCAGGTAATGGGTCAAGGTCAGAAAGCCCTCAGGCTGGCCCTGGCCCAGCCCCTGAGCAGTAAGGGGAGTCCTGGGGGCAGTGCCCAGCTCTTGTTCAGCAGGGCAGGGCTGTGGGGAGGGCCCAGCACCTGGCTTGGGGTCGGACAGTCTATTGGGATTTGACTCTCCACTTCCTCGTCATGTGACCTCTATATCCTCTAAACTGGGGGCTGTCTTAGCCACCCCCAGGGTTACCACTTACACAAGACAACATAGGAGGGTCTCAGCGGAGATTCTGGTTGGATTTCTCTAGTGCCTCCGCGGTACCCACTGGCAGCCCAGTCCTGGAAAGGGCTGCGGGGAAGGGGGCGCTGGCAGAGGCCAATTCAGAGAAGGCCAATGTGGCAGCAACTTGTCTGGGGAGTCACACAGCCCAGAGGCGGCCATGGTGGGCACTGGGCCACACTTGCCCAGGTGAGCAGGCCATCCAGATGGGGAGTAAGCGGGCTGGCAGCAGAGGAGGAGGGGCCCAGGGAGCACCACAATGCAGGAGGTGCTGGCCTTGGGTGGACTCTGCTGAGCGCCGGTGCCCTGCCACGGAGGGGAGCCAGAATGGTCTGGTCAGGCGCAGCCCCCTCACCTGCTGGGGGCTTCTCTGGATCAGGTCTCCCTCCCCCCAGTCACATGCGGGGTCACACATCCACTCCACATTTGTTTACTGAGCGCTTCCTGTGTGCCAGGCTCAGCGGGGCAGATAAAGTGGGCGGTTCAGAGGCGGAGGAGGAAGGGAAGGGTCCCCTCTTTCTCCTCCCAGGAGGCCCTGTTCCTGAGCCGCCAGCAGTAGAATGCCCAGCACCTCATCCTGGCGTCGGGGGTGACCTCATGTCTGGAGTGAGCTTGGAGAGGGCAGCTGAGGCTGGGTCACAGCCTCCCTGGCGGGGCCCGGTGGGAGAACAGGAGACCACTGGATGGAGGACTCTGCAGGCCCGGGCTGTGTCCGGGTGCAGCACCTCCGGATTTCCACCAGGGGAGTTGGCCAAGGGGCTTTATTTAGAGGTTTCAGCCAATGATGCCATTCAGGCAGTCACAGATGCCAGGAGACAGGCAGTGAGAACATGCCCTGCCCACAGTCCCTTCCAGACCCTGCCCTGTCTGGCATCTATGACTCTTCCAGATGCCCAGGGTGCTCCATAGCTAGAAGCTGGTTTTCCCTTCTGGCCCCTTCACTCTTCCCTGGGATTTGCCCTCATCCAGCTGATGCCCATGGCATGGGAGGAGAAGAGACACTGAGGACCCAGGGCATCCCAGAACGCGGTGGGGTCGGTGTGAGCCAGCCCACAGGAGGAACTTCCCGTGTAACTGAAGTTGCTTCTCTAAATACCTGCGGGCACCAAAGGCCCAGGTGTCCGTGGCACCCACACTCTGCAGGCTCCTGTACTGGCAGCTGCTTCCCAGGAGCCTGTTAGGAGTGGGCCCCGCTGGGTGCTGGGCCAGAGGAAGTTGGCATGTTACAGGCCCAGCCTCAAAAGTCCCCTTGTTCAATTCAGGAGACAGACACATAGGTACTTACCAGAATGTGCAAAAGTCTTTCCAAAGATGGCTGAACACTATGGGATCATGGGGAGAAAGACCATACTCTTCCTGTAAAAGTCAGGGAAGGCTTCCTGGAAGAGGGTACATTTCCTCTCAAAAGCACATATGATTTGAGCATTAACTGGACAAATACATGCATCACTTCAATTTCTTCTTCCCAACAACTGTATGAGGTTGGAATTTCCCTTTACAGATGAGGACAGAGGCTCAGGGAGGTTAGGGAAATAGCCCAGTCCCCAATGTGCTCCGGCTCCAAGCCCTCTCATATTACTTATTCATCTTGCCTGCCTTCTTAAAGCTCCAGGGGGTGCTGGGTCCTGGGGTGCAAAGCCTGAGGGATAGACAACCATGTCCCCACCAAGCAGACCAGCTGTGCCCTCCCTGGCGATGGTGAGGGAACAGGCGGTGTAGAGAGCTCACCCCTAACCTGCAGAGGTACAGTTTGATGACTGCTGTGAAATGGACAGAGGGCTGTAGAAGTGTCCACAAGGGCCAGGGGGCACCAGAGCCCTGGGAGATGGGGAAGTGGAGGAGATTCTCCAGCCGGGCCTTGAGTCATGCGTAGGAGTTTGCCAGATGCGGACAGGATGAGGCGGGAACGCCCTGCCAGGGAACACTGTGTGCGAAGACTTGTCCTTCCTGAAGACAGTGGTGGACTGAAGAAGCTGCTGGACTCAGGACATGAGTCATGAGCGTCAGTGACCGCACAGGACAGTAAAGTGAGCAGGCTATTTGCTCCCAGGCTCACTGGCCACTGAACTGTATGACATGGGCCAATTCCCCAGGGTTTCTGAGCTGCCCCCTCCTGCCCCCCACCCAACCTCCGGGCTCTGCAAGACTAGTTGCTGACCGTCCTCTTTGCCAGCAGAAGTCACTGTCCATGTTCTGACATTTCCCGCTTCTGCGTGACTCGGGTCTGGGCACCAGGTTTGCCTTGTGGGTCGGTGGGTGCCTACTGGCCACAAGTAAGGACCTGCAGGTCCCAGGGGTGCGTGGAGGCCGAAATTCCAGCCTGGCTGCCCGGAGGCCCTCCCTCACCCTTTCTGCCTCTGGACTGGTCTTTGAGCAGTGGAGAGTGCTCAGATGGACTTCCAGAAGCCCGTTCTGCCCCCTGTGTCTCTGGAACTGAGGCAAGAGCTCCAGAGGTACTTGTTGAACAAAATGTTGCAGAATGATCTGGAAAGAGAAGGGTCTGGGCATCATGGATGTGGCCACTTTTTATTTATTTATTTATTTATTTATTTATTTATTTATTTATTTATTTATTTGTTAGTTAGTTTGTTTAATTTTTTAATTGAGGTAATGGTGGGTTACAACACAGGTTAATGCCTCTTCAGATGGATGTGATCATGCCATGTATGCCACCCAGCACCCACAGCCCCCCGCAGTCCAGGGGGCCCCCTTTCTTCCCACCTTCTACCTCCCACTGTGGCAGCCCCCGTGCTGCAGTCAGACTTCTAGGGCTTTTTTTTTTTTTTAAAGATTTATTTATTTATGCATACAAGAGCTGGGGTGCAGGTCAGAGATGCGGGGGGAGGGGGCGGTGAGAGGATTCCCCAGAGACAGAGTGGGGAGCAGAACAGGTAGATCGACTGAAATCCACTGCTCAGGGGGACAGTGGGGAGAAAGGAGATGTCTGGGGCGCCCTGTGGGTCAGCTCCCTGGCCGGGGATTGAACTCATGCTGCAGAGGCTGCGGAGAGCTTCACAGTGCTGTGCTTAACTCCTTGCGCCACCAGGGGGGCCCTCTAGGGTTTGTTTTGTCTGTTCCTTGGCGTGTGTCTCTGTATGCCACGTGAGTAAAATCAATGGTATTTGTCTTTCTCCTTCTGATGTGCTTTGCTTAGCATCATCCCCTCCAGTTCTATCCATGTTGTGGCACATGTAGAGAATTTATCTTTTTTATAGCTGAGTAGTATTCCATCATGTCTATAGACCACATCTTCCCAACCCACCCATCTGTGGCTGGGCACACAGGTTGTTTCCAGACCTGGGCTGCTGTAAATATCCTGCCCTGGAACTGGGACCTGTACCCCTTGGAATTAGTGCTCCGTGTTTCAGGTTGTCCCCTGGGAGAGGAGCTGCTGGAGACAATGGCAGATCCATTTCAATATTTTGAGGGCCCTCCAGGCAGTTTTCCATCAGAGCTGGACACATCTATGCTCCTACCAGCAGCACACCAAGGCTCATTTTTCCCCGCATCCTAGCCGACCCGTTGCTAGCCTTTTTGATGTGGTTGGTCACTTCTTGGCACGTGGCTTTCTTTAAGCCTCAGCCCTCACCTGAGCAACAGGGGTCACAAGGACCCTACCTTGCAAAGATAAAAGAGGTGGGAGTCCAGATTCCCTGGTTCACTGGCCACTACTGTCTAGACTCCCAGGATGCTCCAAGGCCCTGGGTGGGCAGGGGACGTGGCACCACACGGAGGCTGGGCTGCTTCTGACCTGCTTGTTGCAGAGCAGAGCACATGAAACGGGGGCTGCATCTCTGGGCCCAGGACAGCAAGTGGCCAGACGCTGGCACACAGCAGCAGTGGCCCTCAGCCCCACAGTAGCGCTGGAGGACAGGGTGGAGTGACCAACAGCCAGGGAGCAGCCCCTGGCCCCGGGCCTGAGGACACAGCCAGGAGGACAGCCTGACCCTGGAGGCCTCCTGTTGGAGCCCAGCTGGCCAGGCCCTGCTGTGAGGGGGGAGCAGGTACCTCTCAGGGCTCCCCTCCATTGGAGAAGCATCTCCTGAGGCTGCTGGCATCTCCCCAACCCCCATCAGGCCAGGCCTGCTAAGCTCAGGGTGGAGGTGTGTGCTCATTTCAGGGGTTCAGCCGAGGAGGTCCTTAGAGATCCTGGGATCTGGGCCCCTGCTGTGGGCGGGGTGGGGTCCAGGGAAGGTCCATGGTACTTGGGCAGTAACGGAGACAGGCAGAATTCCTGCCCCCCAGGGATTCAGGCTCTGAGAAAGCCAGACAACAGACATGAAATGAGTTCATTTTTATTATGGTATTAGAGAATGTCCTAGTTTTTGGTTTTATTTTTCTAAGCCATGTCAGAGGTCAGAAGGAAATGGGCGTGGTGGGTGGGGTGGTCAGGGAAGGCATCTCCGAGGAGGTGTCCCTGGAGGGAGGATCTAAGTATAGTGACCTCGAACAAAGCCATCAGTTGTTCTGACTGAAATGGGGTTTATTCAGAAACAAAGCAACAAAGAGGGTATAGCGGGGAGACCACTGGCCCTTCCCTGAATCCAGGGCTACCAGCCACAGCTGCAGCCCCTATAGTTCCCAGGGAGGGGAGCAGGGTCCTCTCTCATGGGAGGTGCTAGGCATGTGGGACTCATGGTCTGCTGCGTGCCTGCCAGGTCGCCTCCCATGGGGCTCTGGGTCTTCAAGGTCACAGGGTGAGTCACAGCCACAGACCGAGGCAGCACTTTAGCAGCGGGAGCAGATGAAGGTAACCCCTTGGCTCAGGAGCTGCTGTTCTCGTAGTGACCAGAGCTGAGCTCATTTTCCTAGCAGCTGGGAGGAGAAGAAAGGGGCAGGTGCCGGCCGGGGTTGCTGCCCCCGGAGCCGGTGGTGGCGGCAGACAGGGCCGTCTCCACACTGGGATCGGGCGGTGAGTGGGTGGCGCGGGCGCATGGCTGGTGAGGCTCCCCAAGGCCTGTCCGGCATCCCTGTCTCTGCAGGAGTGCTCCCCATATGCGGCCCACCTGTATGATGCGGAGGACCCCGCCACACCGCTGCGCACGCTGCCCGGGCTCTGCGAGGACTACTGCCGGGACATGTGGGACTCGTGCCGGGGCCTGTTCCGACACCTCTCCCCTGACCCCGAGCTCCAGGCCCTGGAGGGCCACCGAGCCAAGTTCTGCCGCCACCTGTCGCTGGACGACGTGGACTACTGCTTCCCGCACCTGCTGGTCAACCAGAACCTCAACTCTAACCTGGGCCGCGTGGTGGCTGATGCCAAGGGCTGCCTGCAGCTGTGCCTGGAGGAGGTGGCTAATGGGCTGCGCAACCCGGTGGCCATGGTCCACGCCCACGACGGCACTCACCGCTTCTTCGTGGCCGAGCAGGTGGGGCTGGTGTGGGCCTACCTGTCCGACCGCTCGCGGCTGGAGAAGCCCTTCCTGAACATCAGCAAGGCTGTGCTCACCTCCCCTTGGGAAGGCGACGAGCGGGGCTTCCTGGGCCTGGCCTTCCACCCCAGCTTCCGGCACAACGGCAAGCTCTATGTCTACTACTCGGTGGGCGTGGATTTCAACGAGTGGATCCGCATCAGCGAGTTCAAGGTCTCTGAGGACGACGTGAACACCGTGGACCACAGCTCTGAGAGGTGGTTTCCCTGGGAGCCCTGCTGATAGGGGGCAGGGCACACATCCTCTGGCATGTACCCATAAGCACCAGCATGCACCCATATGCTCTGGCCTGCACATATGCACAGTTATGCACTGGCATGCACCCATGTGCAGCAGTGAGCACCCATTGCACCAACATGCACCCATATGCACTGGCCTGCACCCATACAGGCATGCAGAGATACACTCCAGCATGCACCCTCATGCTCAGTGTGACTGTACCAAGTCATGCTGTGTCTCACATATGTCGTTAAATATTTAGAATATCACACCAGGTGAGGGGCTGAACCCATGTCTGGGATCAGGGGAAGGAAAATCGTCAACAGCCAGCACAGGGTCACGTCCAGACTCCTGGACCAGGCACCTCATATGGTTCATTCTGTCTGGTGGCCATAAGGCCCAATGATTAGTGTTCCCTCCCCCCATTTTATAGCTGAGGAGAGGAGGCTTAGAGAGGTGAAGTGACCTGCGGGGTCACACAGCTGCAGCCTCAGAACTGGCACCCTGTTTGTCTCCCAAGCTCTTCCCACTGCTCCACCCTGCCCTCCCATGGCCTCCCTGCACCTTCTTCTGGAGCCCCATCTTCTTCCTCCCTCGTCCAACCCCTCTGCCCCAGGCAAATGGCTCCCCATCACCTCCAGCAGATTTTTCCATTCCGTGCCTCCAGGTCTTTGTCCCTCTCAACACCAGTCTTTCTGCGTACTGTTTATGCCACAACTGTTTTCAAAATAGATTTGACCTTGCCTGGCAGAAGAGTCATCAGTTTGGGTTCAGCAGGAAAATAAACCATCCCAGGTAATTCAGTAGGCAAATGGGGAGAAATCCCCGGCTTCTTCCCTCCTTCCGCCCTCTTGCCAGTGCCTGCCCATGGCTGAACCTAGCTGGAGCCGGCTAGCAGAGAAGCAGCTCATGGGAGCTGGCCCACTGAGGTAGACAACAGGAGGAGAGCCAGGACAGGATGCAAGGGCAAATAGACATATAACAGCATATGGAGTATTTAGTAAAATGCAAATTCTTGACACTGAAGGCATGAAAAAGCAAGGCAACCAAATACGCTGCCCGTGAGAGCTAATGAAGAGCTTGTCATGTAGAGCCATTCTGGATGAGCTTCCTGGTAGCCAACGCAGAAGGGTAAGAGATGACTCTCGCTGTCTTATACAATACTGCATGACCAGCTCTCCTGACCCAGACGGGAGGCAGAGGGACAGAATAGACAGGCTCCAAGGGTGACCTTCACAACTTGAATCCTGATAAAGACTGGAGGCGGAACACAGAATGTGAAGATGAACACGTTTCAGAGTGAGGACCCTCTGGGACCTCATGAGGACAAGCAGAGAACTTGACTCATGCGGGCAGGGAGAGGTGAGCACGCTGGCTCCAGGCAGGACTGGGGATGCGTGGCCATCCTTGCCCGAGTCAGCTGCGGGAGCCAGTGGAGCCTTGCGTCCCCAAAGGCCCGGGGTCTGGGGCTTCCCTCTGCTCATCAGGTCATGTGTGCTGGTTTCCCAGCGGAAAGGCGTCTGATCTGGTCTTTGAAGTCCCTGAGTCCCGAATTCAAGCAAACCTTTCTTCTTCTTCTCTGCATGGATAAGGGATGAAGTCAGCGACCAGCGCTGGAAGCCTAAGGCACTCATTCAGAGGGAAATACAGGGAGTTGGCTGTGTGGGTATCGGGGTATCGGGAAGGCAGGAGAAGGGCACTGCAAGAAGCCAGAGGGACAAAGTGGGGAGTTCTCTTGTGTGACTCGCTGCTCCTGCTATGTTTGGGCAGAAACCCGGGTCCTCACTTGCCATTCTTTGTTGCCAGCTCCACCACCAGCACTGGCAGCGCCGGAAGCCAAGGAAACGCTTCTCCCCTCTTGTCTCCCACTCTTCATTGGCAAGCCGTAGCCAGGAGCCAGCCTCCTCCTCTCTCCCCCACCCCACCAGTGCCCTCCCCCCCACCACCCACGCCAAGCTGCCCACCGTAGAAGGGATGGCAGATAACAGATGAGGCCGTGGCACATGCCCCACTTGATTGGCTGGCGAGTGGGTCACTCTGATGATGAAGAAACCAATTGTGCCAGTGGCTGGGGCGACAATTTCCTGTTGCCATACCAGGGCAGGTGCTAGCAGTGGGGAGTGGTAGAAAACGCGGAGTGGTAGAATGAGAAGGTCAGAGTTTCTGTCCCAGCTCTGCTACGTATGAGCTGTGTGACCCTGGGCAGGTGACTCAACCTCTCTGAGCCTCCAGTTCCTCATGGGCAAAATGGTATGACTGATCCCTGCCCAGCCTACCAGATCCTTATACAAATTCACTGCTATGAAAGACGTGAAAAGTCTTTTTGACTAAAATGTCATCCAAGACAGCGGTGACTTTATTGCTGTCATCTTGTTTTGTGTTTTTGGCTGAGTTGGTTTTTTTTTCGGGGGGGGGTTGCTTATCTTCTTTTAGGATAATCCTGGAGATTGAAGAACCAGCCTCGAACCACAATGGGGGCCAGCTGCTCTTCGGGGACGACGGGTACCTCTACATCTTTACCGGGGATGGCGGCATGGCCGGAGACCCCTTCGGGAAGTTTGGAAATGCCCAAAACAAGTATGTTCTGCTTGGGTTGGCGGCTAGGGGGGTCTGCACACCCGTCTTGGGCTGGGGGGTAACTCCCTTAGCCACGAGGGACAGGCAGTAGTGAGGGCTTTGGCCCATGCCCATGGCTACTAGCTGGGGCCCCCAGGCCAGTCCCGGCCCCTGGTCAGCGGGGACTAGAAACAATCTCCTTGGGGAGTTGGCCGTGAGGAGTAAGGGCGTCCTGCTCGTCCAGGCCCAGGCACGGAGTCCACCTGTCCTGGGCCCCTGAGGAGCGACCCCAGCGCACCTCTGGGACTTTACTTGAAGTCAGCCCAGCCCAGCGGGAGGAAGGAAGAGCCACTGGCGAGGCTGAGCTGGTTGGGGCAGGCACATGTGAGCTCCTGGGTCCTCTGGCCCACGCGACCCCAGGCTGACCCGAAATGGAAACCTAGTCTCGCCCTTGGTTCCTCACTTGCTGGCCTGAGCAGATGGCCTGCCCTCATTCCACGCGCCAGACACACCCACCCCCCCAACCCCCCCCACCCCCACACACACGGGTCATGTGAGTGTGGACAAGGCTACACAGCAATCTCGGGCGGCTTCCTCCAACCTCTTAGGAGAAATGACAAAAGCATCCTCACCCCAGAAAGTGAAAATAGCGGCTGTGATGCTGATTACAGTAATCACAGCGTTCCCGGCCGGGGCTCGTGACATGAGTGACAGTGCGGGACTCCGCGCCGCTCTTGCGTGTTTGGGATGTGTTTAGAGATGGAGTTGAGAAAATAGAAATTAAGGATTTGTGGATAATTGGACAGAACTTAAAACATTATTTTGCTGTTATGAGCTTTGCCCGGTGACAGGCCGGCGTGGGCGCTGGCACTGGGCTCCCGCTGCGCGGCAGGGTCTGCGGAGGCGCATGGGGCCACTCCCAGCCTGCTGCAGGGAGAAGGGGGCAGGCGGCGCGGGTCCCGTCACTGCTGGGGGGGCCAGTGTGACTTGTCTAATGATGAGGGGGAAGTCCGGGTGCTGCCGCTGGGAGGAGAGGCACATGGCACATGAAGCGTGCAGCGCAGGCCAGGCTGCCCAGGCATAGCCGCGCAGCCAGTGGGTGTGTAGACACCCCAGATCAAGGCACGTGCCTCTGGGCCTCTTCAAGGTGGGGGCTCCCGAGCAATGCTACTTCTGCCATGCAATGCATCAGACCCTAGAGCTGCTCCCCTGGTGGCTTGTGGAGGTTGGGGCTGCACCCCGTTCTGTGTGGCTCTGAAGGGCGCATCCTGGGCTGGTCTTGCTCTGGGGCCCCGGGTGTGGATGTCGGCGGCAGGTGGGCAGTCTGGCCAGGTGGCCTCATCTTGGAAGTAGGGGTGGTAAGTGTAGCATGCGGGGTGACCTGAGTTGCCACTGAGGCCTGACCTTGCCCTGACATGATGTGGCTCTGCCCATGAGTGAGAGAAAAAGGGAGGGTGCCAGCCCCCCTTCCTGCTTGGATCTTTGCGGTCCGCCTCCCCTCTTTCCCGGCCTGACCCCGACTCTCGAGAGGCACACTGGCTGTGACCAGCTGGCACTGGGCGGGGCGCTGGCCGAGAACCCTAGACACAAGACATCGGTGCAGCCTGGAAGACGGCAGGAAGGAGGGGATCCCCTAATGTCAGAGTGGAAGGCCCAGGTCAAGGGTGGTTAGAAGGGGTGACTTTCCCCAGGGCTTGTCCCGGGGCCCTGCTCCCTGGGCCTGACCCCAGCCTCACCGCTTACTATCCCCGTGAGCACGCGGCTGGTAGGTGCCCCTCGAGCTCAGCTGGCCCATCTGTAAAGTGGGGGTCTCACCAGGACCCATCTACCTGAAAGGTTGCCGTCAGGATGACCCGAGGTGCTAGAGGCTGTGTGTCCTCTGCCTGCGGAGTGCCTGGGACACAGTCAGGTGCCCATCAACGATGACTGGGGTTACCTGCTGGGAAGCGGCTGAGAGAGGACAGGATCGGGTGTCTGGCCCCCACCAGGCTCCAGCCTGACCGTGGCTCAGCGTGGGCCGTGGAGTCCCGCCCGTGGGTCCTGGCGCCGGCGGGACCCCAGCCATGACCGTGCCCCGCCCGCAGGTCGGCGCTGCTGGGCAAGGTGCTGCGCGTGGACGTGGCCCGCAACGAGCGCGGCCCGCCCTACCGCATCCCGCCCGACAACCCGTTCGCGGGCGACCCCGCCGCGCGGCCCGAGGTGTACGCGCTGGGCGTGCGCAACATGTGGCGCTGCTCCTTCGACCGCGGGGACCCCGCCTCCGGCGCGGGCCGCGGGCGCCTCTTCTGCGGCGACGTGGGGCAGAACAAGTTCGAGGAGGTGGACATCGTGGAGCGCGGCCGCAACTACGGCTGGCGCGCCCGGGAGGGCTTCGAGTGCTACGACCGCAAGCTGTGCGCCAACGCCTCCCTAGGTGACCGCCCGCCCCTCTCCAAGCCCTGGGACCGCCTCGGGGCGCGCCCCTCCAGCGCCATAGGCTATGCGTTAGCACCGGCCTGGCCTCGGTGACCCCTGATCCCAGATCCACCCCCTCCCCCACTCGGGACCTCCCACCCGGGACCTCCCCCAGCTCCCCATTCCCTGGGGCGCTCCTCTCTCTTCCCACTGGCCCCCACCCTGGCATTCCCTCCCAGTCGTAAAGCTGTGAGCATCTCCCTCCCAGAGTGGGGCCCATCTTGGGTCCTCCTGGACACCTCCCCATCCCTGACCTCCAGTGTTCAGGACCACCCAGGAAGCTTTGGGGGGACAGTCTGATGCTAGCAACTGGAGGCAGCTGCAGCCTCACCCTGACCGGTCCCTTCTGCAGATGATGTGCTGCCCATTTTCGCCTACCCGCACAAGCTGGGGAAGTCGGTCACAGGGGGCTATGTGTACCGGGGCTGCGAGTACCCCAACCTGAACGGCCTCTACATTTTCGGGGATTTCATGAGCGGGTAAGTGGCCCAAGGGCTCTTGTGCGAAGACAGACCCACAGCCCTGAGTCCCCCTGGTTGCTGCCACTGGCTCCCTGATAGGTGCATGTGTGTGCATGCGTATTCATATGTATATTCGTGCGTGTGCATTCTTGCGTGTGCGTGTGTGCGTGCACGTGCAGAGCTGCTTTCTGACAGGGACAGTGCAGCCAAGCAGGTCTCCCTCTCTGAGGACATCTGAGGACGTCCCCAGCTGAGGACACACCTTGCCTGCCCCCTTCTCTCCCAGTGCCCGCCCCGCTTCACCCCATAAAGCGCACCTGTCACTTGAAACTGATGCTAATTTCAGGGCAGGAACATGGTCTTCCCCTCCCGTCCTGGGGTGTGGGCTCCAGGCCTGACTACAGATCTGAGGAGCTTGGGGGGCAGGATGGAAGGGGCAGGGACAACTTCCCCAATAGACTCAGGGCCACCTCACTCCTGGGGAGGCCAGGACCTGCCTCTATACCTGCTGACCAGCACCTGGAACCCTGCCTGTCCCCCGGCAGCCAGGATACCCCAGCCCAGGAGACATCTCCCTGCTGGGGACAGGGACCCAGGCCTGACCATGGGGCCTGACCAGATGCTAAGCTCACATGCTATGGCAATGCCACCTCCACCCAGAGACCCTAGAGGGTGTGTGTGGGGAGATTGGGGTGAGTCACACCATCAGGTTTAGGAGCAGGAAAGAGAACATACCTCTTAGATCTGCCGTGGTACAGGCCCCTTCCCCAGAGGAACCTCGTGACCCACTGTACAGAAGAGAAAACTGAGGACCAGGGCAGTTGAGATGTACTCCTGGCACAGTGCAGGGTGTGCAGCCAAGACGGCCTGGGTCCAAATCCTGGCCCACATATTAGCCCTGTGACCGTGAGCCACCAGGATTAATGCCCACCTACTGCACTGGCACGTGTCCAATATCTGGGGCCCTTCATTAGTCCCTCCAGGGCTCTCCTCGTGAGGGCAGCCAAGTGGGTTCCTTGGGAGGAAACAAGGAAGCCTGAGGCTGGCAGAATCCTCACCTCTTGCAAGCTGTGACCAGGTTGGTTTGTGCCCAGGACTTCTACACTGGAGCCAAGAGAGATGCCAGACTCCAGCCAAGTGTCCTGGGGTCTTCTCCCAGCCCGGCTTCCCTGGGGTTGGCCTCTGTGACTCAGCTGTCCTGTCTGGGAAGTGCGTCTTGATGAAGCCTCTGTTTTTAACCAGATTCTCCTCTCCCTCTTCTGCCCTCCCTCAGGAGAGCACAGTCACCTGACCACAGATTCTCCTAACCTTTCCCAATCCCCTCCGCGGGGTCAGACTCCTCGCCAGGCCAGGCGACAGAAGAACACCCTGGACCTGAATCAAGGAGACAGCCTCATGCTGCATCCACTCTAATCCAGCCTCAGAGAGCCCAGTGCTGGAGGAGCCTAGGGCAGGATAGCCAGGAGGGCTTCCTGGAGAAGGGGATGTCTGAGCAGGGTCTGAAAGTGATGGAGGACAAGAATAGAAAAACTGGAAAGGAGGCCTGAAGACTAAAACCTGACTCACACAAGGAGGTGGGTGTCGAGGGGAATAACATGACCATTAGCTGTAGAGGTCGTGACCCTTAGGCGCCAGTGCCTTATCACAAGGCATGAGACCCAAGCAGGATCAGAGATTCCAGGGTGGGCCCAATCTCCGTATCTTTACCTTCAGGCCTGTGCTCCACTCCCTGTAGCATCTGATCCTGCTCAGGTCTCGTGCCTTGTGATAAGCCACTGGTGCCTAAGGGTCATGACCTCTACAGCTAGGTTAATGGTCATGTTATTCCCCTCGACTCCCACTTCCTTGTGTGAGTCAGGCTTTAGTCTTGAGGCCTCCTTTCCAGTTTTTCTATTCTTGTCCTCCATCAAAAGTATCAGTAGGTGACTAACAGGTAGAGAAGGGAGCACGGGACAAGCCCGGCAGTTTTCGGAGATGCCTAAGCTTCATCTCAAGCTCTGAAGCGGAGGCAGCTCCGGGGTCTGTACAAACAGCTGGGCACCAGCCCAGAGGATTCCGAAACTGAGGTCAGCTGCCCACCTGAGCCCTGCGGGTCAGTGGTATTAATTGGAATAAAAATCTCAATGATAGTTCGACAAAGAGTTTATTAGATAATCAAAGTGAGGATTCAAACCAGGGAGAAGAGACCGTTGGGAAGGCGGGCTCAGCCAACTGCTTTTTCAACCACCCCCTTCAGGTAGGGCTTTCTTTATAAAGCGTTGAGAAGGGGAGGCTTTCTCAGAAAAAGGAGGAATCACAGATGAAACCAGCACGTGGCAGAAACAAAAGCTTTGCTTTCCCAGGCACCCTCTTTCCTGGGCATATGTTAATTTCCAGACAGGGTAAGGCGCACACCTTGAATTCAATGACTCTGGTAGGCGTCACTGACATGTTTGAGAGACAAGGCTGTGAGAGATGAAGGGTCTCACCCTGAGGCAGGGCCTATCTCGGGTCCGGAGGCGGAGGCTCCGGGTTTGCAGCCAGCACTGCTGTCATCCCATACAGGCTGGCCATGGCGCGCCTTCACGGCATTTCTCTCTGATCCACTGACTTCTGCCTCTGCCAGCCCTTTCCTCTGGCCCAAACTCCTCTGGGCCTCCCTGCTACACAGTGGGTGCCAGTGCAGGGGACACGCAGACCCAGCTTTGTGGCTGCACCCCCCTGCAGCGCACCGGCCCATGCCTGCTCGCCTGAATACGTCCTGAGCACTAGGCTCCCTTTGCCCCAGCCTGCTCTGTCTGGTCCTGGCGGCCTGGAGAATAGCAGAGTGACTGACTGCTTGGCCGGCTGGCCAGGTGAATTGGCAGGTGTGTGAAATGGCAGGTGTGCAAATTGGCAGGTGGGTTCCCTTGGGTACTGTGCCAAGAAGGACCCCACAAGTCATCCTCCTCTACAGGCGTCTGATGTCCCTCCGAGAGAACCCGGAGACGGGCCAGTGGCGCTACAACGAGATCTGCATGGGCCGTGGCCAGACGTGCTCATTCCCGGGGCTGATCAACAACTACCACCCGCATGTCATCTCCTTCGGGGAGGATGAGGCCGGTGAGCAGTCCTGAGCCTCTCCTTTCTGGCGGCCCAGGCCTGGGGCCAGCCCCCCATCCTTGGGCCTTCCAAAAATCACCTTTACACCAGGGGGTTGGGACTGGGGATGGGGGAGGTGCTCCGTGGGCGGAGAGCTGTTTGGGCACCGGTCCCCGCTGGCCTGGGCTCCTGCGTCCTGCTCTGGAAGGTGGGGGCCGTGGTCCCAGCCCACCCCAGGCAGGGTTGCTGTGAGGGGCAGAAGGCTGACACAGCTGGGAGTGGGGGCAGAGGACCAGGAAGTCCCTGCAATGCCGGAGGTGCAGGCGGGTGGGGAGAGAGATGCCCGAGGCTCCTGCCTGGGTTCCTCGTGGCAAGTATTTCAACCTCAACATGAAGCCGCATTGTCCTCCAGACGCGGCCGGACGCCGCCTTCTTGCCCATGAGTGGGCACTTTCAGGCACTGGCGCTCTATGCAGAGAACAGAGGGGGAGGGGAGAGGGGCCAGGGAGGCTGGACCAGCTCTGCCTCCTGCCTTTGTCCTTGGCCCTGGATTGTCCCTGGACAAAAGCCCAGGGGCCCCCAGTGGGGCCTGATGGATGCTTGGCAGGGTTGCTAGGCAACGCCCACCCAGGGGGCCTTTGGAGGGGTATGCCCTGCTGGGCCCTGAGCCCAGAGCCCCAGGCCCCAGTCTGGGAACCTTTGTTGCACCGACACCCATCAGAATCTAAATTCCCAAAAGGGCAGCCCCAGCCCCCACTGCCATCTTCAAGCCCATGGGGGCCCTTGAAACCCTTTTATTTCTGTCAGTAGGGGGTTAACGCGCTTTGGAAGGAGGGGTGCTTCTCTCTGCCCTCCCCCACCACCTTATAGAAGCAGGGCCTGGAAGGTACAGTTCCCAAGAAGCCCACCTCAGCCCTTTGAGTGACACCAAGTGCTGGGCAGCCAGGGGAGGCTCCTCTAGAACAGACCAGCCCAGGGCCAGCAGGTTGGGGGGCCTGGCCAGGCAGCCCCTGGAAGGCACAGGAGTCAGCAGCTGGCCAGCACCAGTCAGAGCCCTGGAGTCCAATGCACACAAACCTCTCCCAGTTCCCAGCTCCAGTTGTTCTTCTGACATTTGTAAATTGCAGAACACGGACCTCTGGTGGCCAAGCGTCCTCCCGGGACTGTCCACCCTGGAGAGTCCAGAGGGCAGTGTCTCTCGGGCAGAGCCCTGCAGGGCTGGTGGGGGCTCTGAGCCCGCGCCTGGGCTTGGGGACTCCCGCTTCCAGAAGGTCAAGGCTTGAAGTATGCCTCAGAAGGGAAACTAAGGCTGTCTACCCTGCCCAGTCATGGGGAGGGGGCACTGGCCCCATCCTGGCCCCTGCAGGTCCCTGAGCTGGGCCTTAACCTTGATCTTGATCAGCCAAAGGAAGCCCGTTGAGAAGGCATTCCAGGCCAAGGTGAGCAGTGTGTGTGGGGAGGCTCGAGTCATTCCAGAAAGAGGCCCAGAGGGGGAAGCAAAGGCCTGGGCAGACAGTACGCCCAGGGGCTGTGCCGCTGGCTCTCTGCAGGGACTGACTGGCCAGGGCACCCCAGTTCCTCCTCATCATCATGTGGACCTACTGCCCCTCTCCCATCCCCAAAGGGGGCTGGTGCTCCTGGAGGGGCCAGGTACCACCGACCACTCAGTGCGCTGCCCCCCCCCCCCCAGCTCCCTGCCACAGCTAGATCTGTCCCATCACACCCAGGCCTCTCCAGGTTTCCTGAGCCTGGAGTCTCACCCCACCCCCATGCAGCCCTCCCTGATTTCTTCAGGGACATGCCTTCCTCCAAGTGCCCACTATGTGCTCACTGTCTGTCTTGACCTCTCCTTGGGGAACTTCCCCCACCCCCACCCCTGTCTCTGGGAGCGCTCCTGCCCCCTCTTCCATGGCTGAATCGCCCCTGGCTGGTGTCCGGGCCTCCGGCTACCAGGTGTCCCACACTGCTGTGGGTGGGCAGAGGGCAGACCTGGCCTATTCACTCACCAGCTGTGTGACTTGGAACAAGTCTCTTGACCTCTCTGGGCCTCTGTTTTTCCATCTGTGGGACTAGTGGGAGCCTATTTCCTGGTTACAGGTGCCGTCGACAGTTTCCCAGGGGACAGGAAGTGGGGTGAGGAGAGAGGTGCACCCACATCCCGAGAGCATCCTTGGGCCAGTGCTCATAGAGCCACTTGCTGTCTCCACTGCTGCCCTGAGCGGTGGAGGCGCTAAGGCTGGGGGGCTGGCCCAGCACAGCTGGCGCGTACATGCAGCTTGTGCAGGGGCTGGGGTCCCCACCAGAGCCTCTGGGTGTGTCCTCTTCTGTCCCTGCCACCTGAGGTGCCTGCGGTCAGTGGAGAGAGGTGACCTCAAGGACTCACAGGATGAGGGTGATGGGACAATGAACCTGGGGTGCTCAGCCTGTGCTCACTTAACCCTCTTAGCCCTGCGAGGCTCGCCCATTCCAGGAAGGCGCTGAGGGTTGGTGTGTCTGCATCACCCCGTAAACCGTCAGTGGGCAAGCTGGGCTGTGGCCGCCCCCCCCCCCCCCCCCCCCCCGCCGCCTTAGTTTCCCGGTCTGGGGACTGGAGAGCGACCCAGAGGCGGGGCCCCTGACCTCCTGGTTCCTTCGGTGGGTCCGCTCAGAGCCTGGGGGAGCAGAGATGGGGGGCACTGTTTCAGTTGCTGCTCACTCCTGGCCTGTCTCTCATCCCAGGGGAGCTGTACTTCCTGTCGACAGGCGTGCCCAGCGCCACAGCCGCACGCGGGGTCGTCTACAAAGTCATTGACCCGTCCAGGTGAGTGCCTGCCCCCAGCCCTGGCCTCTGCCACCTCACCACCCTTTTCCAGATGAGTGCAGTGACTCACCAAAGCCACACCACTGGGGGGGGGGGCGGGGAGAGGGATGCAGGGATGCAAATCCCTGCCCTCCAGGTCCAGAACAATCTGACCGGGGGAGCCTAAGATAAAGGATCTCACATTTTCCAGTGGTTTTAGGCGGCAGGTGAGGTGCCCAGATAGTCCCGAGTTCCCAATGGGCCCCCCGCCTTGTCCCTCATCGGCTTCTTACATCAATGGGGACCTTTGTCACCGCGGGGAGCCAACACCGGGCAGCACTGTTACTGTTGTAGAGCAACCCCGATACAAAACGGGGTGCAGGACATCATTTCTCCCTAACATTACCGCTACGCTTTTACTTTTATTGATTATTCAGTTTTTATTGAGGTGACACTTGTTGACAGCGCTCTGTGTGCTGCAGGGGTGTGTGTGTGACCCCTACGCCAGCCAGCCAGGTGCCATTACCCCCCACCAGGGCCTGCGTCCAGCCCACCCCCCCAGCTTCAGTGCTGCAATCAGAATCAGATTTCTGGGTTTTGTTTTGGTTCAGTTTTGTCTGTTCCTTAGCGCTGTCATGGTCCCCTCAGGAGTGAAATCGCCGGTGGCTGTCTCCTGACTTCCGTCTCCAGCTTCGGCCCCTCCCAGCTCCATCCCAGCTGTAGTAAGCGCCACATTCTGGAAAGAGCATTTCTCTAGTTTTTCCCAAAAGTCCTTTTTCTGCTCCGGGACCCAGTCCAGGACCCGCATTACGTTAGTCATCTGTCTCCGGCGTTTCCTCTGGTCTCTGAGGGCCTCTCCGGTGTCCCTTGTTGACCACATGTGCTTTTTTCTAAAGCCCAAACCCATTAATTATCCACGTGACTGGCCCCTCCCCCCACCCTCCCCCTCTCCCTGGGGTCTCCACCATCTTGCCCTCGGGGTCAGCACTGCGTCCTGAGGGGGGACTTGCCAGCTGTGTCTTGTTCTCCTTTGATCCCCACGTGGTGTAAACAGCTCCGTGTTGCAACACCAGTGCCAAAAGGCCCTTGGACCGGCTGGGTGAGTTTTCATCAGGCCGCTCTGCCCTGGCCGTCTCGCCGACCCACGACGTGCGGGCTATTTCCATTTGTTTTTACAAGCGTGTTCTTGAAGGAAATGTCCCCTAACTCAGGCCAGATGTCGCCTTTGACCTGTCGCGCGCTCCAGCGTGCACTGCGGTCTGTTGGCTTGTTATCTCCAGCAAGGGATCCTGACCGGAGAGGGAGTCTCCGGCTCATGATTTTGTGGGCCCCAGGAGCCAGCTGCCAGCCAGCACCCTTCCCTCCCGCCCAGCTTTCTCTTCTGCAGTAAATGAGTTTCTTTGCACCCACAACATATTGCAAGGGGTCCCCATGACACATGGTTGGAAACTGGGAGCCGAGGCGCTGGGGTCCTGTCCTCTATCATTTTGGAGTTTATCTTCTACCTTTTTGCATAGCAAAGATTTGCCTCGCAAATGTGAAGGTAATTCCCGTGAGGGCCTTAGAGCCCTGCCGGGCCTGCCTGAAGCGAGTGCATGTTCTCTGGAGTTGAGGACCCCCAGAAACCCACCCTTCTCCAGCTGTATGAGGTGCTGTCGCCCCTAGCTTCCCTCTTCGACCACACCTGTCTGGGAGCCATGGGTGGCCCCGGGGGACCTGGGCTTTCCTCTGGTGCAGATGGGCCTAATGGCCTCTTGGACCCATCGGGGCAGTCCCCAAATAGGGTCAGGCCTGGTCAGAGACTCACAGGCCACAGCCTGCAATGCCCTAAAATGGGATTCTGTCCTTCATGCTCACAATGTCACAGTGCAGTCTCCTCTCCCTGTGGGCGCCACCCACCCTCCAAGACCCTGGGTCCCTGCGCTCTGCTCCTGGCTCTGAGGCACTCCCCTAACTCCCAGTTATTTAGCTTGCCCTAACCTGCCCCTGGCTCCTCATGCAGAGACCCTCTCCTATTCTGTATCATCAGGAACCCAGAACCCCGAGGGGCAGAGAGGGACCGAGGGATCAGGGTGGCAGGCCAAGTGGGAGTAGAGGAACTGGTCCGGTGCGGGGAGACCGTGACCTTGGTCAGCATCCTCGGGACAGTTCACACTCTGAATTAGAAGTGGCTCAGGAAAGGCGGCTCCCTGGCCCCAGTGGGCCCCAGGCTGAGGCTGTTAGATGGTTTTCCTGGGTTGGGCCCAGGGCGGCCGGGAGGCTGCAGCCCACACAGCAGTGGCTCCCTACACAGCGCCCTTGTGATGGTCCACACCTGCCCAGGCTGAAGGCACACTGGCCCGTTCCCTCCCCGCCCTGCTGCAGGGGGAAGGGTGTGAGATAGAGTGAAGGCAGGCTCCTGGGAGGGGCTCCTGACACCACTCCTGTGTGTCGGCAGGCGGGCGCCCCCTGGCAAGTGTCGGATCCAGCCCCCACCGGTGAAGGTGAGGAGCCGCCTCATCCCCTTCGTGCCCAAAGAAAGTAAGTGCCCGCCCAGGGGGACGGGGAGGAACGTCCCCACAGCTGCACCCGGCCCCCTCCAACCAGTGAGGGTGCCCTTGCTGGACCTGGATGCCCTTCCTCCACCCTGGGACTCACTCTGTGCCTGGCACCCATCAGGCACTCAGTTAAAGGGGCCAACTCCTTGACCTGTCACCTGGGTGCTGCGTGCCAGGTCTAGGGGCCTGGCACGGCTACAAGCCATGGGGCACATGGCTCCAGGCCAGGCATGGTGGAGTCTGCAGGAGGGACAGGGAAAGCATGGCCCCGACTGGGAAGTCACTCCAGGTGCCACAGCCCCTTGGGGAGGGGCCTCAGTCCCACCTCCCTTGTCTGTTTGACTAGCTTGGCGGGGGGGTGGGGGGGGATACTCATGACCTGGTGCCAGGCAAGGCCACCCGTGGCATCTGGGGCACTGAAAGGGGTGAGGCCGAGGAGGGGGCTGTCCTGCAGGTGGTACAAAGGCCCAGAGTCGACTTGAGACCTTGCAGTTCTCAGGGGAAGCAGGAAATCCACCCACTAGTTAATTATCCCTCCCCCCCTGCCCCCCCCCCCACACTGTGTGCTTCATTTGGGGGAACAACGCTGAATAAGATGGACGCTGACCAGGTTTGGCTGGGGGAGGGGGGTGCGGGGGGTGGGGTGGGCGGTGCTCCCATCTCAGTTCCTGATTCTTGGTTTGTTCATATCATCTTGTAATTTGAAACCCACCCACCGGCCAAAGGAAACACCTCAGGGGCCAAGGGTGCCCACAGATCACCAAGCAGGGGTGATCTGCAGGGGGGGCTGGGGGGTGACAGGAAGAAGGCACCTGGAAGTGGGGTGGCCCTTTAGGTGGGAAGCCAATGTTTGGGGAAGTTTGCTCTAACTGCACTTGGAGCTTTTTAAAAAATATATTATTTATTTTTATTTTTCATTTCGGGAGCTTTTATTAGTTGCCTGCCCTGAGCTGGACGCTAGGGCCGTGAGAGACAGGCCGGCCCTGTCCCTCCAGGTGGGGACATTCAGGAGGCATTTAGTGGCTAGGCTGGGGGCCATGGGGGCCCAGAGCAGTGAAGGACTTGGGATGTGTGGGGGTCCCTGGAGTGGAGTCTGAGAGTTGGGTGTGGGAGGAAGAGGAAGGTTGCACCGTGTGTGTGTGTGTGTGTGTGTGTGTGTGTGTGTGTATGGGGGGGTAGGGAGGGGGCAGTGTAGACAGAGGGAGCAAAGTGGGAACAGCCAGCAGGAGTTCTCTCCACAGGGGGCGTGGGGTTCAGGGTGTGGGAGGGGAGCCCCAGTTCATGACGGGGTGCTCCCAGCTCCCCTGCTCTTGGTCTTGGAGGGAGGCCCTTGCTCCACCTCATCTCTTAGTGGATTTCAAAGTGGGGTGGGCAGAGGTGAGGCGAGGAGGGGATCTGGGCTGGTGGTCCTGGGACTCCTCCCCATACTAACCAAGTCACGTGGGGGTCCACCCCCCGAGGGAGGCCATGCCTGAGGGTCTGATATAGTGAGGTTATCCCAGGGCTGGCCTGGGCAGGTGAGGGTCGTGTCTTGCAAGGACAAAAGGATCCACCCCCTCAGCCCCCTAGAGCCTGTTTCTAGGCCCTCCGGAGGGGGTAGATGGGGTTGCCCCCCACCCCATCTGTGTGGGCCCAGCTGAACAGAGAGCTCCATCCAGCTCCCTTTGGTTGGTCAGGAGCCTTGAGAGCCTGGGTGGGAGTGTCCCCCTGCCCCAGGCCCCTAGGTAGCAGGGCCCCACCTGCCAGTCTGCTGGAGGCCTGCGGTGCCTTTCCCATGGGTGGGCCTCGGCCTCCTGGCCACAAAGCAAAGGGTGGGGGACACCCAGCAGCAGACTGGCACAGCTGGGGGAGACTGAAGCAGCCACTGGCCCCCAGGCCCAGGCTGGTCCTCAAGGGGAAACTCTTTCCCTGGATCCCTACTGTGGGTGGGGAGCTGGGGGCTTGGGGGGCCAGGGTCCCTCTGATAGCACCTTTTCCACTGTGCAGAATTCATCTGGAGGCCGGAGAGCACCCCGCCGCCCACAGCGCGAGCGCCCACCAAGGCGCCCCGGCGCAGCCGCCCCACGGCCGCACGGCCCGGGCCCACCCGGCCCGGGCCCACCCGGCGGCCAGCGCGGCCCAGCCGGAGGCCCGGGACCCAGAAAGGCGGGGGTCGCCGGCGGGGGCGGCCGGGCGCCGGGGACCCTGCGCCCTCCAACGGCGCGGTGCGGCTGGTGCGGCCCTCGGGGCTGAGCGCCGGGCAGGGGCGCGTGGAGGTGTTCGCCGGCGGCCGCTGGGGCACCGTGTGCGACGACGCCTGGGACGCCAAGGCCGCCGCCGTGGTGTGCCGCCAGCTGGGCTTCGCGCACGCCGTGCGGGCGGCCAAGCGGGCCGAGTTCGGCGAGGGCCGCGCGCTGCCCATCCTGCTGGACGACGTGCGCTGCGCGGGCTCGGAGCGCAGCCTGCTGGAGTGCGCGCACGCGGGCGTGGGCCGGCACAACTGCGGCCACCAGGAGGACGCGGGCGTCGTGTGCAGCCACGTGGACCCCGACCTGTAGGCTGCCCCCCATCTGCCCTGGGCACACCTGGTCTGCCGGCGGCGGGCCCCGGGAGGTGCGCAGGGGCGCGCGCTTCCTCCCTATCCCTGCCCGACGGGGCGCTGCGGGTCAGAAGCCACAGCATGAGTTGGGGTCTGATGGGGTGCCTGTGGCTCTGGACCCCAAGTATTCTTTTCTTACCTCCCAGCATCTCCAGCAGGAGTAGGAGTAAGGGCAGAACCTGAACACTGAGGGCAGCCCCCTTCACGGACAGACAGGGCCTGGCTGCATTACCAGAGACACAGCCAGTGGGCTGAGGGAGGGGACAGCTATGTTCTGCCCTCACTGGAGTGGAGGGCCCCCATCATCTGGGCCAGAGGGCAAAGGAAAGTTGTCTGACAGGCGGGCCCAGGGTGGCCTGTGGCCTTGGTGCCCAGCAAGGGTCAGGCTGCCTGGAAGGAAGCAACCGCTGGCTTGGGCTGGCTGGGGGACAGCTGGCCTGTGGAAGACACTCCAGAACATTTTGGACCTCATCACCATGCTGGGCCCTTGTCCTGCTCTGGGGAGAGTGCTGGCTCCCAGCCCTGAGGCTTGACTCTCCCCTGCTCCTGGAACAGGAGCAGAGCCCTCCCCAAGTGCCCCTCGAGCCACCAGCCCCAGGGTGTGGGGGCCCCACTGCCATCTCCAAACCAGCCCCTGCTCAGTGAAATCCAGGGGACCCTCTGATCCCTCCTGGGGCGCACCAGCTGAGGGTCCATTGAGACTACTGAGGCTCTGGCTCCAGGGCTGTGCCAACAGCATGACTGTTTCCAACCTCCCTCCTGCCTCTTCTCTGGTTTGTACTGCCTGGGGCTGGGGAAGGCTGAGGGGAAGGGAGGTGGGGCGGGTGCCAGGGCATGTTCCCCGGCAGGGACGAGGGGTCCGCATGAGTCTAGGGGACTCCCAGCTGCTCCCTGAAGCTGAGTGAGGAGTACGGGACTCTGAAGACAGCTATGGGGTCACCCTCTGGGACTCCTCACATCTCTGCCCTTGTGGGGCTGGCAAGGGCCTGGGGGTCCCCTGGTGCCCTGCCCTTGAGTCTGGATCCATGCTCGGCACCCTTGTCCTCAACACAGCCCTCTCCCTTTTACGGTTGGGGAAACTGAGGTGTGCAAAGTTAAATGTCATAGTGGAGGGCACCCAGCCAGGGAGGGGGAAGCCAAATTAGAACTCTGGCTCCCGGCCCAAGTGCCTGTGTCCACAGGGGGATCCCCGGGTGTGCCAGGGCCCCACCCACTGTGGCGGCCTCTCTGGCAGGGAGAAGCCTGCTCAGGATGCAGGGAAATTCTGAAGTGTGAGCTGGGAGGCCCGCGGTGACCATGGAGGTGATGCTCCTCAGTGCGCAGGTGCAGAGACCAGCACTGGGGGCTGAGTCCTGGCATGAGATGGACCAGGGGAGGGGGCAGCCTGTGGGCCTCAGAGCCCAGCAAGGGCATCGGTGCAGTGACCCCCTCTGGGCCTCCACTGCCTCCTCTTCTGCGCTCTTGGCTCTCTCTCCCGACCCTGCCGAGCTCCCTCCTCATTTCAAGGCCTGAGGCCACTATGCCACAGATGGGGCCTGGGAGGTGGGGTGGAAGTGATGGGGGCACTTCCCACTACACTACAGCCCCGAAAGCCTGGGGCCACCCTCTGGGGCACCTGCCACCTTCCCCCAAATGTGGGGTACCCAGCCCTGCTCAGCGCTGCTGTTTGTTGAGGCCACTGGAGGAGAGAAGTCCCAGGCCCCCCACCCCTCCAGGCAGTGCTAGCCTCAACCTGCCAGGCATCTGGGCAGGATGCCCCCCTCCCGGTGCCCTGACTCCAAACAAGGCTTGGGCTGCAGCCGGACTCTGGAGAAGACTGGCCCAGTCTCCTGAAAGAGCAATGATGGTGCACACACTGACGTCAGCTGAGCTCTCACTCTCACGAGGCTCCGTCCTAGTGGTTTTACAGCTCACTCATTTAATGCTCACGTTCACTCCACGGCAGATGCGATGGTTATTCCCCATTTTACAGAGGTGGAAGCTGAGGCCCAGAGAGGTTTAGTTACATGGCAAAGGTCACACAGCCAACATGAGAAACCAGAAGTCTGGCTCTGGGTCTGTGGGCTGCTATGCTGGGCTGGCTCAAGAGCATTGAATTCGGTGCCCCACCCCTGCCCTGCCCCGTGGTCTCATCAGTGTGCAGAGGGGGCACGAGTTTGGGGAGAGCACAGGCGGGTGCAGACTCTGTGCAGTGCTCCCCTCACTCATACCCTGTGGCCGGCTGCCCTAAAACATCCACAGTGACCGTGACCCCAGGGATTCTGATGCTGCCTTCAAGGAAGGTCTCTGGAGCCAGGAGCTGGTCTAGACCGAGGCTCCCTGTGTCTTACCAGCCTCCACCGTCATCCCTCTAATCCAGCCTCCAGGTGGCCGCTGGAGTGTCCTCTCGGAACCTGGCCAGCGTCACACTGCCCAGTCCTGGTTCCGCAGGCCCAGTGCTGCGGGGCCGCCCCCGGGCAGCCCTGCATAAATAAACAAAAATATTTTTTAAAAAGTAAACAGGTGAAATTACATTTTAACCATGCAATCTAGTTCACAGATTCAAAAATGATCATTTCAACAGTTCATTTGAAAATATCCATGCAATTTTCCCCCTACGATCTTTTTTGGGGGGTATTAGGTCGCTGCGCTCCCGTGTGTGTCACACGCACGGCGCATCTCCACTGGGACCCGTCACATTTCCAGGGCTGGAGAGCCACGTGTGGCGGGCGGGGCGCGGCCGCGGGGACCTGCCCAGTGCAGCGCCAGGTGCTGCGCCACGTGCTTCCCGCTGCGCCCTCTGCTGGCGGCTCCCAGCGCTGCCGGCCGCGGCCGAGCGCCCGACCCCGCCCAGGTGCCTGCACCGTATTCCCCGCCTGATCACAGGAGAGCCCAGAGGGCAGGTGGGGTGGCCTAGGGGCAGCAGCGGACCTGGCGCCTTGGGGAGAGGACGCTGATCCCCTTTCAGCTAGGGCAGGGATGCTTTGCTGACAGCAATGCCGGAGTGGGCCTTGGTCACTCACTGAGGGTCACACGCGCTGCCCTCCCTGGCCCTAGCTGCGCAGTCTCGAATTCACAGGTGCACCCTGGGGCTGCAGGCGCCCAGCTCATGTGGGACCCTAGACTGTACCCAGAGCAGTTCAGTATCTGGCCGGCCCTCAAAGAATAATTTCCTGAGTTCTCCCTCGAGATTGCCTCCTGGGCCTTCACGGGACCGGCCTCCGCGTTTGCCCCACCCCCATCCCGCACCCCGCGTGGCCAGCCAGAGGGCCCCTGGGCGCTTGTGCCTGCGGAGGCTCCTCGCCGCCACGCGGGGGCGCAGGGGCAAACCAGCGACTCCCAGACCCACCTGCAGGCAAGCCCAGGTCCCCGCACCTGCTGGGCGCGTGACAGTGGCCCGGGGTGGGGGTGGGGGAAATCCTATGTTCTCTGTGCGGACCCAGCCCTTCACACTTGGCCCTCTCCCGCATCCTGCCGCCACACACCTGTAACATTCGTGTCCCCTGGGGTGAGGATTCGCGAGCCTTCTCTGTTTTCCATTCCCCAAAGTTCCCGGGAGCTGTCCCATGAGTGGGGCAGACGCACACCCTCTTCCCGGAACCCCGGCCCCTGAGCTCTTGGGCCTGCGCCCCTCTGGTCCACCCGGCCCTCTGCTTTCAATGTGGGTGCAGGAGCTGGGGACTAAAAAGTCCAGAAGGGCCTCTTCTGTCATCCCCAAAGGGTGAGGGGAAGCAGGTCACACAAGGAGGGACGCCTGGACTATGTTTAAAACACCTTTTGGCTTCGCCGGACACAGTTCTCGCTTTCCTCCAAGGGCCTGTTGTGTCCGGATTTCCCCCACGCGCACTCGGCGCCCTGCTCCTCGCCTGACGGGGCTTCTGCTGGGCCTGGAAGGGGCAGCGTCGGGTCCAGCCTTCGCTCTTCACTCGCAGGCATAGGACGGCTGGTGCCGCCGGGCTCCTGCCCTCGCCCCGGGGCCCCGCTGGGGGCCGGCGGGAGCCCTGCGCGGACAGGCCGGGCGGGGTAGACCGGCCATGGAGGTTTGTGCTGCCGGGAAGAGCTTAGGGCAGTCGGCCTAATCCGGGCATTTGGAGGCCGGTAAGGGGCTTCAGGTAGGGCAACAGGAAGGGCCGAGGGGGCCGCGCAGAGACGCGCTGCGTCTGGAAGGTGCCAGAGGGCGCACCAGCCTGCAGGGCTTAGCGCCCGCGCTGGGGCCGCGTGCACCGGGGAATCGGGGTTGCCAGGGACAACGCGTTGTGGGCGGAGCTGCTGCTGGGGCGGAGTTTGCGGGCTGGAGGCGGAGCCTAGGGGGTCCGAGCCAGAAGCGGCGTGGTGATTGGCAGAGACCGCGTGCTCTGGGCGGGGCCCGGGCGGGGGCGGGGCCGCGGCGGGGGCGGAGCCTTCGGCGGAGCGGGGCGAGGCGGGGGCGGGCCCTGCGAGCTGGAGCCGGAGGCGGAGACGTGGTTGGCGGGGACCGAGCGCCCGGGGAGGGGTCGGAGCCGGCGGGGGCGGAGCCGAGCGGGCGGGGGCGGCGCTGGGTCGCGCCGGGCCTGGGGCCGAGGCGGCGCGCGGCGCTGACAGCTGCGGCGGCTCGCGGCCTCCCGCCCCCCGGGTGCCCGGCCCCGACCCGGCCTGGCCTGCCCCGGAGCCATGAGCCCCGGGCTGCTGCTGCTGCTCGGCAGCGCCGTCCTGGTCGCCTTCGGCCTCTGCTGCACCTTCGTGCACCGCGCTCGCAGCCGCTACGAGCACATCCCCGGGCCGCCGCGGCCCAGGTGAGCGGGGGGTGGGGGCGGGGGCCTGGATGGGGCGCTCGGATGGGGGGCCGGGGGGCCGCGTCCAAGCCGGCGTGGGGACCGGGGGTCAGCCTCGCCTCTAGCGCGCGGCCGCTTGGAGAGGCGGCCAGGAGAGGGGCGCTAACTATTCTTAGTAACAAATTACTCACAGCCCCGGCAGCTGCTCGGCGCCCACCGCGCTCTGCTGGGCCCCACAAACGTGATGGCAGCGACAACCCCATTAGGTAGGCGCGATTGTTACCCCATCCTTCAGACGAGGAGACTGAGGCGCGCAGAGGCAAAGTCACCTGCCCAAGGTCACACAGTTGGTAAGCCTAGATTTAAACCCGGGTCAGCCCGTCTCTAAAGTGGGTGCTCTTAACTTTGGGACTTTGACTGGGTCACTCAACCTGGATCGGAATGCGCTGTGCCTTGGTCCCATGCCCTTCTGTATTTCTGTCCTGGTAGATCCTTTTTGTCTTGTCCTTAGAGCTGCCGTTCCATCCTCGGCCCCCACCCCCACCCAGCCTGCCCCCTCCACACTAGACGCTCACCTTTCCGGAGCGCCAATCAGATGTGTCTTTTCTCTGTTCCAAAGCCTCCCATCCCTTTAGAACCAAATCTAATTCTACAGCAAGTCCACTCGGTGGCCAGCAAGGCCCCTGCTGAGGTCTCAGAACCCACTCTGTGCCGCTCTCTCCCTCCTTGCTTTCTGCTCCCCAGTCTCTCTGCACCCCTGGCCCCACCCCCAGCTGGTGCCCCCCTCCAGGATCTTGCTGCCCTCTGGCCACCCTACCCCCAAACTCCCATGGAGCCATTCCCCCAAGTCACCTTCTTTTCACCTGTTGGCTGTCTGTCTCCCCTTTAGAATGTGAGCCCCAGGAGGGCAGGGCTGCTTTGTGTTCGCTTGTGTACCCCCAGCGCCTGGCACGTTGCAGATGCTCAATAAATATGTGTTTGATGAATGAATGAACAATGGTATTAGACATACTTCTTAAAACCTCAGGACATGAACATTTTGAGAGGCACCCTCCTCCAGCACAAATCAGATGCCCTGGTTAAGTTAGAAGCCTGAATCTTGCTTGGTGGGTTCAGGAAAAGATCTCTGTGGCTGGTGGCAGAGAGGCCCCCTTCTCCATGCTGGTTCTCTATGCTCCCAAGTGCCCCGGCCCACCTTGGGGTCTTCCCGAGCCCTCTTCCCTTGCCTGACAACTCTGACTCCTCCTTCACGTAGGCCGTTGTCCCCCAAACCTTCCAGACCTGGCTTCAATGCTAACTCCCAGGAGGCCCCACCCCTACTGTGTTCATTGTATAGACTCCCAGTCACGGCAGCTGCATGCCTATCTGTGCACCCTTGTGTTAAATGTCTGTCTCTCCATAGGCCTGTGTGTGTCTCGTTCACTGCCGTGTCCTGACGTCTTGCACAGCAGCGCCTGGCACCTGTAGTCGGTGCTCGCTGAACAGTGATTCACAGTTGGATGGTGGAAATCGCCTACGAGTTCCTTTAGGTCCACGATCGCCCTTTCAAGTTTTCAGATCAGCCATCCACCGCTTGCAGTTGGATGAGCTTCGCATTGGTTTCGCTAGGTCTCCTCGTGACTTGGTGTTCTCGTAAAACCGAGTGCTTCAAGCACCCCAGAACCAGCCCCCTCTGTCTTGGGAAGGCAGAACTTCAAAATCAACCCCTCTTTCCCTATCTTTTTTTACACTACATTTTAAAAATAAAATTATGTATGCCATCAAATGTCCCCCTGTACAGTGTGCAATTCTGTGTTTTTTGTACAGTGACAGAGTGGTGCACTAGTTGTGTGATAGTTCCAGAACATTTTCATCACCCTCCAAAGAACCCCCCTCCCCATGAAGGCATGCTCCTCATTTCCCTCACAGCCCCCGCAGTCCTAGAAAAATCTGCTCCCTGCCTCTCTGGATGCGCCTGTTCTGGACATCTCACAGGCTGGGATCGCACAACATGTGGCCTTTGTGACTGGCTTCCTTCACCAGCCTGATGTTTTCAAGGGCCCTCCATGGAGTGACCCGGTCTGTCCTGCTTTCCTTTGGATGCCAGTATCCTCCCCCACAGTTCACACCAGAGTCTGCATGTGACCTACAGGTGTGCGTGGGTGGATGGAGGCGCGGGAGGAGGCTGAATAGAATTATGAGCGGCTCTTTATGCTAAGGAAGTGAACTGACGGATGCATATGCAAAAAGGTTTTGGATTAAACATTGGTGGGTGGTCAAATAGAAAAACACACCAAATGAAAGTTCTGGAACCTCTTCTAGCACAAATCAGCTGCTTTGGCATTCAAAGCCTGGAGCTCTGGGCATGATTGACAGCACCATGGTTGACAAGAAGTCTGTGTATTGTGTCTCCACTGCTGGCATCTGCTGCCTAGGCTTGAGGCTTTGCCAGCTGGCAGGCAAGGAGCCCTCTGCCCTAGAGGAGGCGGCTACTGTGCTTCCTCAGCCCCAGGCTTCATCCTCCTTGTTTTGCAGGAGTCACCAAGATGCTGTCTCCTCCAGGATGCCCTCCCTGAGTGCCCCACTTATTACAAACCACATCCTGCTGCAATGATCCGTGTAACCGCTGCAAACTCAGACCCAGACCCTGCGCAGACACTTGTTGCTTCTTTCTCTGACACTGCCCTAAGCGTCCTCATCAGCCCCCACTCTCCTGGTAGCGTGGGGTGAATGTAGTTTTGACAATGAAAAGTCTCTCTCTCCAGCTTTTATTTATTTCGAGTAAATGTCTCAAATTCAGCTCCTGGGCAGCGCCTGTCTCTCCTCCCACTCCTCCTTGCCAAGCTGCCAGGGCGGGAGCGTTCCTCAGGGAGCCTAGCAGCTCCTGGTGATGGGGGAGACCCACTTCTGGCTTTGGGGGCCACTCTTCCCATGGACTTTGGGTGCCAGCTTAGCACCCGCCACCTCTCCTGGCGCGAGACACAGCCAGGGGCATCCACCCCCCAGACATGAAGACTTCCTTCATCCCTCTGGGTGGCCTCACAGAAGGCGCTCCAGGTGACCTCTGCTCCAGTGACTGTCCAAGGCTTTCTCTGCCCCCCAGGAAACCTGGATTCCCATGTTGCCCATCAGTGTAATAGGACCTGGTGGGGGAGGGTCCTCCCTCTGCTAGCTCCCTGGGCTGTTCTGCCTTATGCCCCTTCTGTTTGCCCCCCACCCCAGTGTTCGACCTTATCCTCACTCCATCATCCCTTACCCATTTACTGCTAGCATCTGGTCACTGGCTCTGCCTTTGCCTCTTAGCGCTCCCTGCAGGAACTGAAAGGAACAGCTTTTATTTCCTCCTGCCGGGCCGTATGACCTGGGCTGTGTCCCTTCCAGACAGCATTGGAGCCCCGTGGCTAGGGTGGAGGCTCTGGGGTCAGACTCTGTTCCTTCTCGGGTTACTCAACACTTAGCACTTCTCCCCAAAACGTGCAGCTTTGGGGAGTGACCACAGACTATAGATTGTTCTGGAAGTACACCCAGCCAGTTGTGTGTGGTCCAGGCGCTTGTTTCTGCAGGTGGAGCTGTGTAAGTTCAAGGTCACTCCCCTGGGTGGCTTCAGCAGCCCGGGGCCACACTGCACTTCCTGGCCTGCGTTTGCTCCCCACTCCACAGCCTGCTCGGCTTGTCTTCCGTCCCCGCTCCGCCCCCTCCTTCCCTTTATTCTTGCCTCCTACTTCCCCAGCAAATGAAACAGTCTGAGGGAACTTCCTTCCAGGGCGCTGCTGCCACAGCTGCCCCTTCCCTGCAGCAGCCCACGCACCCCTCCCGCCTTCCCACTGGCGGCCACGGTGCTCCTGGCCAAGGACAGCAGCGCAGCCACCCTGCCCCAGCAGCCCCCTCTCGCTGCAGTGCGAGTTTTCCTTCTCTTCTGCCTCTTTCTCACTTTTATATAAGATGCCATTCAAAGGTACTTCCCCCTCTCATTCTCCTCCGATTGCCTCCCCCTGTCTCTGCACCCCACGGCCACCTCCGGGAAGCTTGCCTGCCTTCGGGTGCCCTCTTCTTCTTTCTGGAACCCACCACCCCTCCACCCAGCCGCTTCGGTCAAGGTCCCAGTGACCTGCGTGGAATGAAACCCCACTTTCAGGGTCCACATCCGGTCTGGCCCCGCAGCAGCCTGGCCAGGGCAACCTGCCCCTCCTCGTCCTGCTCTCTTCACAGCTTTCCTCTCCAGCTCTCCTGCAAGCCCCCCACTGTCTCCTGCTCGGTCTTCCCGGCTGCTTGTACCTTTCTGCCTGCACCCTCTGTGGTAGCTCGGTCCCTGACCTCGTCTGTCACACTCGTCCCGCGTGGCCGTGTGGCCCGAGCCCCGGGGCTGTGACCACCGCCTCTGCTGAGGACTGTCTCACCTCCAGCCGGGAGCCGCCCCACGGCCGCCTCAAGGCAGGGTCCACCTGCCAAGCGCGTCCATGTAACAGGCACCGCCACCCCCCTCAGGCCCACAGCCACGCTCCTCACTGGGCCCCTTGTCTCAGGCTGGGCCCCCAAGTCCATCCTGAGACAACCGAGTGAAAGTAGCACCCGGGTTTGGGGGTTGGGCGAGGGAGCATAGGCCACCATAGCGCGTTCCCTCTGGGGCGACTGGGGCACGGCCCCTGGGGACTCTGGGAGGCAGGAGGCTGGGAGAGGGCTGCCCTGGGTGTGGCGGGGCCCTCTCACCTGCTCTCCTGCCCCACAAGTCCCTTCCCCACCCTCCACCCTCAGGAGCAGCAGACCTTCCATCCTCCCTGTGCCCAGGGGCGCCGCACCTCACGCATGCCCTCGTCCACACACTCCGCGGGTCATGCACCGTCTGCTTCCCGTGGCCTCGCCCCTCACCCCACAGCTGCCCTCACTGCCGCCCCCACTGGCCTCGGGCAGGACAGCCGTGAGAACCGTCCATTTGAAACTCAAGTCAGACCTGTCCGCTCGCGGCCAAACCCCAGTGGCCCCCGCTCCACTGAGCTCCAAGCAGAGCGTTGGACACAGCCCACAGGGCCACGCGTGGTCTGAAGCCCAACTCCGGTGACCCTGCCTCAGCCCACTTTCCCCTCAAGCACGCTGCTTCAGCCACACGGCCTTCTCGCTCCTCCCTGAGCTGATGGAGCCACTCGCACCTCAGGCCCTTTGCACCTGCTGCCGTCTTGCCCCAGAGGGCTAAGCCCCTCACCTCCTGCAGCCACATGTCACTTCCTCAGAGGGAAAGTCCCCGAACCTCCTGTATGAAGAGGCCACTGTACAGCGTCCCCACCTGTCTCTACCACTCCCTGCCCTTGACTGGTTTTAATCCCATCACTCTCTGGCTTCCTACTTACTTGCTTATTTACGTGCTCTCTGTCCTGCCCCGCCCCACTCCTGGAGATGTGAGTTCCATGACCCAGAAAGCTCCAACTGCCGTGTTGTCCTCACTCACCTGGATGTTGCAGTGAGGGAAAGTGAGCTTGCTGAGTGAGGCCCCGAGCGCCTGGGAACACACGCCAGGGCACCCCGCGGCAGGCGTCTCTGCCACCTGGGACCACGCTCCGACTTAGCAGGGCACAGGGACACCTGGTACCCACCCCGCAGTTGTGGGCAGGTGATGTCACCTCCCAGACTCAGTTATCTTACCTATAAAGTGGGTTGGTGATAGAGCTGCCTGGTAGTAGGGGTGGTGGGACAGGATGAGGCTCAGCTGGGCACTTGCATGTAGGGGGCAGTGTCAGGGTGACCCCACACAGTGTGATGGAGCCCTGGCCTGCGAGCCAGGAAGATGCAGAGGAATAAAGCCTCTCCTCCAGGAGGTATCGGGGGCAGTGAGACCTGGGTTTGCATCGGGCCTGGTGACGCACCTCCCCGTGCCTCAGTCCCCCATCTGCAAAGTGTGCCCAATCATCCTGACCTCACAGGGCCCCGCAGGGAAGGGAGCCCCCTCAAGGTGACATCTGGTGATCTAAATGTCTCCATTTCTTCTAGTTTCCTTCTAGGACACCTCCCCTGCTTTTGGAAAAAGGATGAGGTCTGTGGCCGCGTGCTTCAAGATGTGTTTTTGGATTGGTGGGTCCTAACTTGGCATTTGTTGCCCTTACTCTGGCCCAGGCTCCTCGGCCCAGCTGTCCCCCACTCCTACCCTGTCCAGACCACCCCCACTCAGGTGGCTCCCAGCCCAGCAGGCCCTCCCCTGAGTGGAGAGGCAGACAGTTGTGTCTCGAAGGCAGGAGTTGCCATTGCCAGCTGCTGAAGTTAAACCAGCCACCAGCAGCTCTCAGGCCTCAGTTTCCTCATCTGTAAACTGGGTGGAGGAATGTGCCTAGACTGCTGTCCTGGTTGAGGGGTTGATGTACACTTTTCAAAGACATGCTATTGCTCGATTCCCAGTCCAACCTTTTGGGATAAAGGAGGGGTGCAGCACCTCTATTTCATGGATGTAGAGATGGAGGCCTCGTGGGGATGTGACTTAACAGGGAGGTGGCAGCTGCGGCTGCAGAGACTATGTGGCCCCAGGCCTTCAGGCCCCAGTGCCAGGCACTCTCTTGGCCTATGTTGAGCCCCCTCCTAGGAGGGGATGCCCTGTCCTTCCTGTGGGGCCTGGGCTGACTGCATGTCGGGTCCCCTGGTTGACAGCCTCCTCTGGGGCACCTTGGTTTCTAGGGCTAAGAAATACGGTCCTGTTGTGCGGGTCAACGTCTTCCACAAAACCTCGGTCATCGTCACCAGCCCCGAGTCAGTCAAGGTAGGAAATAGAGCGGTTTCCTTGGGTAGGGGCCTGGGGAAGGAATGTTCCAGAGTCCTGCTATTGGGTTGGTTTCTCAAGAACCCCAGAGGAAATGGCATCTTTCTCTCACCACCCATGTTTAGGGACACCTACCAGCAGGGCTTTGGAAGTGGATCGTGAGCAGGTCTTTGCTCTCACACTCAGCTGGGTTGGCAGTTGGGCCCGACTGGAGGCCCATATTGAGTGAGTTCACCTTTCTCAGCCTCAGGTCCTTCATCTTCAAGATGGGTTTTGAATCCTCTGTCAGGGCTATGATGAGAATTAAATATTGATTGATTGATTTAATAAAGAAAGTATCCAAAGTTACTTATACATGCAATTTTCTGTGTTCTCCCCAATTATTTCCCCATTTAACTCTCATAGCAGTATCATTTTAGAAATGAGGGAACAGAGGTGTCATTACTGGCAGAATGGTGTCGTCCAGGGAGCTAAGACTGGCCATCGTTATTGGCGTTGGTGGAAGAGGCCTCACATTTGGGCTCTGCCACCAACAGGGACCTTGCAAAGTTACTTCATCCTTCCATGCCTCAATTTCCTTCTCTTTAAAATAGGAATGATGCGGCTCTTGCAGTGTGAGATGTGTGTGAATTGTCTCACCTGTCCTTGGCAGATAGCAAATGCTCAATAAATGATGGTCTATTAGTCTCATAGTGGGTACTTGGAGATGTGTGGCAATGATTCTCTGCTGGGAGAGTGTGGTGACACAGAGAGGGCCACACATAACTTAGGGTCCTCATCAGGAGACAAGTAGAACAATCATCTGATAGGATGTTAAAAATCATTATATTAAAAAAGTTTTATTTCAAATATAGACACAGTTTAATACTTTTAAAAAAGCATACTACCAGATGCAGTAGGCTTCTCCTCTCTTACCTGCAGTGTGTCCACTTAGCAGTGTATTTCAATAAACCCAACTTTTCTGTTCTCCACTAAGTAAATAAATAAACAAATAAAATAAATCATACTACCACAAGCTATGCCCAAAGACCTCCATGATACTAGATGAGAAAAGAAGTTGAAAGATACGTATTAATATGATGCATTATGTTCATTTAGTATTCAAGTATTAAACCAACCTTGCATTCGTTTTCATGATAGCTTGTTGAAGTGTACCTGGATATGTAGATACAATTTGTTCATCTTTTTGTTAAGGATATTTGTTTATGTGTTTATTCTTATAACGCACTCGTCTGGTTTTGGCATCAGATTAATAGGCCTCTTAAGATAGATTGGGAAATGTTTTTTTCTCTTCTATTTTCTGAAAACCTTTATATAGGTGTGGTTTAATTTCTTCCTTTAATGTTTGGTAGTACCAGTGAAGCCACATGGGATTGGTATTTTTTTTGAAGGAAGTGTTTTTAGTTTTGTTTGATTACACATTCAACTTTTATAATTGATATATGGCCATTCAGATTTTCTATTTTTTCTTGAGATTGGGAATTGTGTTTTTCCAAGGATTTTGTCCATGTCATCTAACTTGTTGAAATTATGGGCTGAAAGATGCTCATAATATCTATAGGATGTGGCTATAGGATCTATAACAATATCACCTCTTTCATTTCTGAAAACAGCAATTTGAGTTTACTTTTATTTTCTTCCTCAGGCTAACAAGAGCTTTATTAATTTTATTGACATTTTCAAAGAACCAGTTTTTGTTTTATTTGGTTTTCCCCATTGTTTGTTTTATATTTTATTGATTTCTGTTCTTTACTATTTCCTCCCTCTACTCACTTTGGGCTTAATTTGTTCTTGTTCTCAATTTAAGATGAGAGTTTAGATAATTGAGTTTAGACCTTGTTTATTTTCTAATATAAGTATTAAAGGCAATATATTTTCCTATAAACACTACTTTTAGCACAAATGTACCACAAACTTCAATCTGTTATGGTTTTATTTTCATTTAGCTCAAAATATTTTCTAACTTGTTAGTTCTTCTTTGAATTGTGGATTATTTAGAAATGTGTTGTTCAATTTCAAAATATTGTGGGATTTTCCTAATATTTTTCTGATATTGATTTCTAATTTAAGGTCAGAGAAAATACTCTTCATGATCACAACCCTTTTAAATTAAAACTTCCTTTATGACCTGGCATATAGTCATGTGCGAATGTTCATGAGCGTTCAAAAGTATATACATTCTGTAATTGTTGAATGAAGTACTTTAGGAATGTCAATTAAGTTGGTTGACTTTATTTCTGTGTATTTACTTACTTTAGCAACTACCACAGGATTGACCCCTTTATTTTTAGCAATTTCCCCCTTTATTCTTGGTAATATTCCATTTCCTAAAGTATATTTTGGTCTAGTATTAATATATCTACTCCCACTATCTTATGTTTACTGTTGCATGGCATAACATTTTTTTAGCCATTTACATTTAACCTGTCTGGATTTTTATATTTAGAGTGGGTTTCTTGTGGGTAGACCTGAGTTGGATCTTGTTGTTTTATAAGTCTGCCTAAGTATATTTAATGTACTTATTGATATGACTAGATTGAAATCTACTATGCTGTTATTGGTTTTCTATTTGTCCTATTTGTTGCTTGCTCCATTTTCTTCCTTTCCTGACCTCTTTTGGGCTTTAGTATGTTTTAGTATTCCATTTTATCTCCCCTTTCCTTATTAGCTCTGCTTTCTCTTTGTCTTAGTGGTTGTTCCACAGTTTGTAGTATCATATTTAACTTATATCAGTCTACCTTCAAATGATATTATACCATTTCATCTCTGTCTACTTTTAAGACTCTCTGGTTTCAGGCATTTAATTATGTTCTGCCTTGCTTCTTTTTGTGTTATTTCTATGTAGGGTTTTTTTTTTTTTAATTTCTTGCTTATGTGGATTCTTTGAGCATACTTATAATATTTGTAAAAAAAAAAGTCTTAAAAGTTTTTGTCTGTGAAATCCATCATCTCTGTTATTTCTAGACCTATTATAGGTGAGAATCTCCTGCTTATTGGCATGACTAGTGATTTTATACTAGACATTGAGTATTGTGAACTATATATTTTTGAGTGCTCAGCTTTATTTTATTCCTTTGAAGGTGAGTTGGAAAATGTTATCTGCAGGTGATGAAGTTACTTGCAGATCAATCTGATTACTTCTTGGTTTGTATTAAGACTTTTGTAGGTTGATCTAGAGTAGGACTTTACTCTTGATTTAGTTCAGAACAGTCAAAGACCGGAGTTGTTCTTTTGGTGTCTTTGTCCTGAAATTGCTTCTAAGCAGAAAGCTGAAGTAATCCTAGGTTGGGGGCCTGACATATTTTTTTTTCCTCTTGTATTATTTTTTATTGAGGTCATGTTGGTTTACAACACTGTATGATTTAGAGGAATAGGTTCACACCTCTTCAGATGTATGTTATCACCCACACCCAGAGTCCTCGCAAGCACCAAGAGTCCTCTACCATTGACCACTGAATTCTACCCCTGCCCCAACCTCCATGATGCCCACCCCCCAACTCGCCCCCTCTGATACCTTCAGTTTTACAGTCAGATTTCTAGGGCTTCTGGCACTTCTTTTGGTTTAGCTTTTTCTTCTTTTCCTTCTCTTGGGATTCACAATCCTGCATTGCCTGTTATCCAGTGTCTGAAAACAGCCATTTTGTAATTGGTCTGGTTTTTTATTTTTATTTTTCTGGTTATTTAAGGAAAGAGGGAAAATCTTTAACAGTTACTCTTTTGTGTATAGAAGTAAAACCTCAGGGTGGGCAACTAGAGAAGGCAGCAGGATGCTGTGGTCCCCTGTGCATCCCTCATGGCCCAGAGCCCAGCTCACTGGGGCATCATAGCCTCTCCAGGCTGGGAAGAACAGGTTGTGGGGACCCCTGGTGAGGGGGAGAATGTCAGAGCTTGTGTTATAGCTGCCTCACGGTGGGGGCTCCTCAGTTTAGCATGGAGTGGGGGGTTGGCTCTGACCTCAGAGCACTCGGGGTCTTCTGAAAGGGCCCTTGGAGGTGGCCTGTATGGTCATGGCCTTTGGGCAGGAGACAGGACCAAGTCTTCCCCTTGGCAGGGTAAGGTGGTGAGGGAACTTGGCTTACAAATGATAGTGTTTGGGGAAGTAGGATTCCCCTGGGCTGTGGCTTATGACCCAAAGTCTCCCATTTCTAGGGTTTCCGTTCCCCTGAAAATTCAGACATTCGCCTGAGACATTCACAGACACCAGCAGCCCTTGGGTTACCTGGCAGCAGAACTAGTCCCTGCCCCACAGGAGGAAGCTTAGCATCCTACAGCTCTCTGGAATTTGCCCCTACAGCCTCGCCAGCCCCTCTGCTGCCTGTCCCCACTCCACATACCTCTGCCTGGGTCACAGACTTCCCCTACTTTCCCCATAGCGAATCACCCAGTCTCAAATCCTTTTCCACCCTTTAGCGAGTATGCAACCTTGGGCCCGTTTTAAATCTGTTTCGTCATCTATGTGAAAAGCATCTATAGGTGAGCAAAGAGAGAGAACCCACACCTCAGGGCTGATGGGGTGTTAAGTGAGCTACAGGATGGGGATGTGCAGCTGGCACCGGTGGAGCTCCTGCTGTGTGCCAGGGCCCGCCTCAGAGCCATCGTGTAGTGTTGACTTGGCCACACACTTACCTCCATCCTTTATGATGAGGAAACTGAGGTGTAGAGTGGGGGAAGCACTTGCTCTGGTCATTGAGCAAGTGGTGGAGGGGGCTGCTGAGCCCAGATTCAGATTCATGCCAGCCAAGCTACAGCCTGAGCTGTTAACCAGGGGGTGCCTGCCTCACAACCATTGCTGATGGGACTGTCACTGTCCTCTACTCTTGGTCAGGCGAGTTGGCCCTTCCTCCAGGAAGCATTCCTTGACTTCTGGGGATGGGCTGACACAAACAACACTGACTCTTTGCCCAGAAGCCCTCCTTCTGGCATCTCCCCTCCCCCTCTCCATGTTAGAGCAGCACCTGCCTTTTCTTGCTCTGGAAGCTGGCAGTCACACTGTCCCTCGGTGCTCTGCTTTCCCCAGCACAGAGAGGCAGTGATGACTTGAGGGCAGGGCTTCTGAGGATTAGGTGAGATCACACCTAGGAAGTGTTCGCGCTGTACCTGGCTTGGGGTGATTTTCTGGGGCATGTTTCACAAGAATCAAGGAAACCACTAAGCTCTCGGCAGCTTCTTGTGGGTGCACGAGCTCATGGGGATGTTTTGGGGCCTCTAGAAGTTCCTGATGTCCACCAAATACAACAAGGACTCCAAGATGTACCACGCCATCCAGACCGTGTTTGGGGAGAGGTGAGAAGGGGAATGGGGGAGTGTTGAGGGGTTGGAGGGATCTGGGAGGTGGGGGTCTGGGGGGCCTGAGGGGGCTAGCCTCAGCTGGGCGGGCTGGGCTGCAGGGTGAAGAGCACTGGAGTGGCACCTGGACCCGGCTGCCAGGCCCACCCTAGGTGTCTCTGCGTGGCAGCCGCCGCTCTTGTCATTAGCATCTCCTTTCTGCTCATCCCCACCTGAATGACAGGCAGAGTACTGGGGTCTCAGAGCTTAGGCACATGATCACCCCAGTTCTATTTTATTACATAAAATACATTTTTGTCATAGTAAAAAGCCTCAGACAAAAACTCTACCACCTCTACCCCACTGGAGTTTCAATCCATGGTGTTTGGTGTGCCCATAGGGTGGCCATCACCACGGGCGTTGCCAGCGCCTGCATCACCCAAGGGCGGCTGCGGCCTTCCCCTCCCCTCCTGTGTGTCACACTGGTCTTTGTCCCCGCAGGCTGTTCGGTCAAGGTTTGGTGTCCGAATGTGACTATGAGCGCTGGCACAAGCAGCGGAGGGTCATGGACCTGGCCTTCAGCCGCAGGTGAGTGTGGCCAGGACGTGGGCCCAGGAAGCAGCAGGTTGCACCCCAGGTGACCCAGGCCAAAGGGAGGACGGAGAGGCCACTGGGAGTCCAAGAAAGATGAGTCCAGTCGACCAAAAGGCCATGAGGCTGAGGGAGGCCCCATGTGGCTTTGGAGCAGAGGGCCTGAGTATCAGGGTGCCTGGAGGTGCAGGGTCCCAGCCCCCAGGGGCTGCCCTGGATCAGACCTCATCACACCTCCTCTGGACTCCAGTTTCATTTCAGGGTAGCCTTTTATTTTGTAAATAACCATTGGGTTGAGACATAACCCGCACACTGTACAATGTCCCATTTAAAGTGTACAATTCAGGGCCTCCCCTGGTGGCGCAGCAGTTGAGTGCTGGGTTGCGAGGCTGCCTGCAGCCTCTGCAGCACCAGTTCGATCCCCGGCCACCGGTGAGGGTCCCACCCAAAAAAAAAAAAAAAAAAAAAAGGGTATAATTCAATGGTTTTTAGTATATTCACAAAATTGTACAACCATCATGCCATTCAACCGTAGAACATTTTCATCACCCCCAAAAGCAGCTGCTCCCCATTTCCTGTCAAAGCCCCAGCTCCTGAAAAACACAGAATTTACTTTCTTTCCCTATGGATTTTCATATTTGGACATTTCCTCAAAGTGCGATTGGTCACTCCATGGGATCCTGTGCCAGCTTTCACTCAGCACATCCTCCAGGCACATCAGGTTCCAGCATGTGTCGGAACTGCCTTCCTTTTTATTGCCCAATAACATTCCATTCTGTGGATGTGGACATGCCATAATTTTTTTATCCCTGCTTCAGTTGTTTCCATTTTTTGACTGTTGTGAAGAATGTTGTTCTGCACATTAAAAAAAAATATTTATTTATTTATGCATACAAGAGCTGGGGTACAGGCTAGAGGTGGGAGGGTGAGATGATTGACCAGAGACAGAGTGGGGAGCAGAACAGGTGGATTGACTGAAACACACTGCTGAGGGGAGCAGCGGGTGAGACAGGAGAGGTCTGCTGTGCCATGTGGGTCACCTTCCTGGGTGGGGATCAAACTCATGCAGCAGTGGCTGTGGATTGCTTCATAGTGCTGATGCTTAATCCCTTGTGTCACCAGGGAGGTCCTGCACATTTTTGTGCAGGTTTCTGTGTGGACAGAGGTTTTCATTTCTCTTGGGTGTGTAAGTAAGAGGGGGTGGCTGGGAAGTAGCTCTGTTTCACTTTTGAGAAAGATCATCTTTGACTTTGAAATAATTTCAAATTTATGGGAAAAACAGAATAGCCTAAGGGACTCCTGTATGTCTTTTACTGAGAATTACTAGTTGTTTAAATCACCATTTGCTTCATCATTTCTTTTCTGTGGGCATATATTTATATTCTCTCTATTACATACATATGTATATTATACATATATGGTGTTTTATTGAGTGCATTTTTTAAAAAAAGAAAAGATGTTCTCTCACTTTTTAATTTTAAACAAACTCAAGCTACAGTTTTCCTATACTCTTTGGGAACTTCAAATGTAGAACTATTTTCAGCTTTGTGTCTGGTTCATCTAACAGCATCTCTCTTGCTGTTTTTCCCTTGGGAGACTGCCCTCTTATTCTTTTTTCTTTTCCCACCACCATCCCTCAGACCTTGCTGACAATTTCTCCCACCCTGTGGTACTTTTTTAAAAAACTTGAGAGTGACTGGAGACATTGTGATCGTTGCCCTTAAAAACACTTTTGGGTGTATTTCCTAAGAACCAGAATGTTCTACATGACTGCAGTTCAGCTATCAAAATGAAGACATTTAACATTAATTCAATACTGTTATCTAATCCAAAGTCTGTTTTTGAATTTTTTCCACTACACAGTCAAGGCTATTACTTCCATGTCTGGGATGCAGCCCAGGTTCATGTGTTGTGTTCAGTTTCCATCTCCCTCCATCTCCTTCCTTCCAGACAGCTCTATCTTCTTGACTTTTTTAAAAAAGATTTATTTATTCATGCATGCAAGAATCAGGGTACAGGCCAGATGTGCAGGAGGGTGAGAGGATTCACCAGAGACAGAGTGGGGAGCAAAATAGGCAGACTGATAGAAATACACTGCTGAGGGGAGCAGTGGGAGAGACAGGAGAGGTCTGCCGCACCATGTGTGTATCTCCTTGGCCAGCCGGGAATTGAAGCTGTGCTGCAGAGGCTGTGGGCAGCTTCACAGTGCTGTGTTCAACCTGCTGTGCCATCAGGAAGGCCCTTCTTCTTGACTTTCTTGACCTAAAACTTTAGATGATAGGCCAGTTTTGTAGCCTGTCCTTCTATTTGAGTTTGTTTGATGTTTCCACAATTATACTCAGGTTTTGCTTTTAGGTGAGAACATCACAAAAGTGATGCTGTGTCCCCCTCAGGGCCTCAAGTCAGGGGACATGTGCTGTCATTTTTTTCCCTTGCTGGAGAAGTTGATTTTGCTCGCTTGTCAAAGGCATCATCCTCCAGGTTTCTCCACTATGAAATTACTATTTAGGACATAAAATTTGCATGACTGTAAACATCCTCACTTGCACTTTCATTGCAGTCTCTTCCCTGGCTGTCTTCCTTTCTCCCTCCTCCACTGAATCCACCTCACTGTCCTGGAGAGAGCTTGCCAAAATGCAGATCTGACCATGTCACTTCCCTGACCTGAAGCTTTCAATGGCTCTCAATCATCTGGAAGATGAAGGGCAATCCTTGCCCCTCCCCCAGTCTGGTCTCTGGACGCCACCAGCTTTTTCACTCTCAATTTTGCCCCTTTCTGGAACTACTGTGCTTCTTTTGGCACCTCTGTCTTTGTTCCTCCATTTCCACTGACCTCTGTACACCCCAGGGAATGCCTCTGCCCCTTTTATACCCAGCTAAGATGTCACTGTTTTGGGGACATATTCCTTAGCCCTATAAAGCTGAGGCCATGGCTCTATCACACCCTCTGCAGTGATTGTCAGTAATTTCCATGTCCCTTGCAAGACCACAGGTCCCCAGTGGCCAAAGATACAGCTTGTCCCTGAACACCTGTGCTGGGCACTTTGCAAGCCCTTTAGGAATATCCATAGAGTGAGTGAATGCCTGTGTGAGTTAAATGACTCAGATAGACTTGTTCTCACTAGAAAGTGGGCAGAAGTCAGAATGAGAAGGAATAGCTTGGAGAGAGGCATTGCTTAATAAGCCAGGGTTCCAAAGGTCCCTACCTCAGGGACCATGTCATGTTTGAGATTATCAGAGCAAGTGATACTCACTGGTCATAAACACCAGTTGCATGTCTTGATGAGGTTTCTCCAGTACCTAAGACCTGTGTTTGAATAGCACTTTATGTTTTATTAAGCATTTTCACCAATATTTTTATGTAAAAATTTTTAATTGTGGTAAAGCATATATAACATGACATTAACTGTCTTGACCAATTTTAGGTATACAGTTCACTAGCATTGAGTGCATTCACATTGTCATGCACTGTCACTTGACATCTTTATTTTCGAGTCTTATAATAAGGTCATCAAAAAGATGATCATTTTATTGGAAATGCAAAATTCACAATGTTTCATGAAAGAAACTTTGGAAATTGCTTCTGTCAATGAAGATGATATCAAGACTTGGATGATATCAAGACACTCACTAAGGAGAAAAGGATGGAAATCATTGATGAGTTTAATCTGCGTAGAATATCATTATACACTTTTAATAAAATTGCAAGAGTAAATTATGAAATTCTGCTTTCCTAGACATTACTTTTACTGAAACACGTCAGCCCCAATCATTTCCATCAAAGACAAGGGGGTTGGGATTTTACTGTACCTCTAACACCCCAGTCCAACCTTTTGTATCCATGACAACTGCAAAAGATTCAGCATTGTTGTGTGATAACCAGCTATCTGCTCTCCAAATAGTCAACTCGAATGTGAATTTAAAGACAACTACAAATAACCTTGTGAATAAATATATACTTGCAAACCATGTAAGTGTTGTGAAGAAAACATCAAGGGTCCATGAGAGCCTATGTAGTCACACTTCATTTAATGACAGGGATATCCTCTGAGGAATGTGTTGTGAGGCCACATTCTTGAGGTGCAAACATTGTCGAGTGTAATACATCATAGTGTGTAATACAAACGTAAATGGCAGAGCCTCTGTCGAAGCTGGGTTCTGAGGGGTAGCTTATTGAGACCACTACTGTGTGTGTGTTGTGTCTGACCAAATCTCGTTGTGCAGCACGTGACTACACTGGGCCTACTAAGGGCTCAAGAGATGTTCCTGAGATGTGGCATTTTTGTGTTTATCTGGAGAATGGGAAGGTATTAAGGTGATAAAGGGGCAGGGGATGGACAGTGGGAGGGAGGAGAGCTCTAGACGTAGGGGACAACATGTGCAAAGGCCTTGAGGTAGAAGGAGCATCATGCTTTGGAAGAACTAAAAAGCCATTGTTACAAGGAGGTGACCCACAGGTGGGAGTCAGCAAGGGCCAGACTTCCTCCCAGTCCCAGGTGAGGTTTTTATCTTCCTTCTAGGAATGACAGGTGATTTAAAACTTTCTAAGATGGCAAGAGACTAGACAAGAGTGGTACTTTCATTGGATACTTGGGCAACAGTGCAGGGTGGGGACTGGGCAACAGTGAGCATGAGGGTGCTGGGTCTGTGCTAGAACCAGAATGCCAGAGCAGGGTTGGTTGATGGGCATTGTAGAGCTGGGGTTTTTTAATTCATGAAATAATTACTCTTTTCTTTCATAATTTTTCTTTTTTTCTTTTTAATATTGAAAAACTCTTACTTGGAAATAATTTCAAGAACAAGGATAGGTGACAGTACACACATATGCCCTTTACTCATATTGTTAACTTTCCAAGTTATTTTTAATTGCAAAAGCAACACTTTCTCTTAGTAAAAATTTAGCGATAAATATAATAAACAAAATGGCAGTCTCCTCCCTTCCCATGTCCTCAGGGTTGCTAATCTTGTGAGTTTGGAGTGCATCCTTCCATACCTCTTTCTAAACTCTGTGCCTGGGAGACTGACCAACGTGGCTGTCCAGGGGCAGGGAGCTCTGTGGTCTGGTTGAGGACTCTTTTCCATGCTGAGCTGGCCACTGTGATGGCTCAAGGACAGGGAGTGAGATGGGAAAACCACAGGCTGCTGATGGTAGGCCGGCAGGGCAGTTAAGGAGAGTGGACAGTGTGAGCAGAAGGGTGTGAGAGGACTGGGATCATCCCATCATGGATTTTAGGGGACCCCCGAGGCTCTTCTTCCCCTCCATGCCACTGTCCTCTGGGATTTCTGTATGTCCACATCCCATCATAGTGGAGGGATCCAGGCAGGCCCCTAATGATGGAATCATTAAGACAAGGACAAAGGAACAGTGTCCACCCTGAGTGTGTATGAGGTGGGGAATCGTGAACCCTCGGGGCTTAGTTTGATTACTTCAACCCTAACTGGGCTGGGGGACACCATCTCCACTCTGCACACAGGCCCCCCACTCCAGGGAAGGGGATATAGGGTGGTTGCAGGCCCAGCTGGTCCTGGTGGTCACTGATTTGTGCTGTTTCTACAGCTCTTTGGTCAGCTTGATGGAAACATTCAACGAGAAAGCTGAGCAGTTGGTGGAGATTCTGGAAGCCAAAGCGGATGGGCAGACCCCAGTGTCCATGCAGGATATGCTAACCTCCACCACCATGGACATCCTGGCCAAGGTGATGGGTGGAGGGCGGGGCCCAGTGGGAGGCCTAGGGGCAGAGGGCTCATCAGAGACTCCTTCTCTGGTGTGGGATCTCATATATTTTATCTCCTTAAATATTCAAACAATCTAGTGTGAAATCGGAGCTACTAACTCATCCTCTAGTAATGGACGCCCAGAGGTGTGGGTACTGGCCCACGGCCAGTCAGTGCTAAGAGCGATACTGACTCTCAGGCCTGCCTGACTCCTGACTCCCAGTTCAAAGCCTACCCCAGCCCATCGCCCTCATTGGGGTATGGCCTGGCTTCTCCCCCTGCAGCTCAGAAGTGGCCCACATCACCCCAAGTCCAGGTAAAGGCAGGCCAGGCAGCTGAGGGTAGAGATATACTGTGAGCACATGAAGGTCCTCTTTGGCCATTCACAGGAGAGCTGGGTGAGGACAACTGCCAGGGAAGGTTGCAGTTCAGGGGGAAGTGCAGAGAAGGAAGACATGGATTACTAAGCAACTACTGCTTGGGTGGTTTTTTTTTTTAAGATTAATTTATTTATGCATGCAAAACTTGGGGTGCAGGCCAGAGGTGCAGGGGTGAGAGGATTCACCAGAGACAGAGTGGGGAGCAGAACAGGTGGACCCACTGAAATACACTGCTGAGGGGAGCAGCGGGGAGACAGGAGGGGTCTGCTGCGCCATGTGGGTCAGCTCCCTGGCCAGGGATAGAACTCAGGCTGCAGTGGCTGCCTAGCTTGATAGTGCTGAGACTTAACCCCTTGCACCACCAGAGATTTTAATCCTCACCACCTCCCATGGGGCTGGAACTCACGGGGTTGTTGTGAGGAGATGGTGCTGGGATATGACTCTACCCCCGTGCCCAGCCTGGGTCTCAGCAGGACAGCGCCAGGCTCTGCCCTGGGTCTTCGGTCCTCCTACCCCTTTGATTTGACCTGGCCCTTCTCTCTCCCCCAGGCAGCTTTTGGGATGGAGACCAGCATGCTGCTGGGCGCCCAGAAGCCTCTGTCCCGGAAAGTGAAGCTGATCATGGAGGGCATCTCCGCGTCCCGCAACACCCTGGCGAAGGTACTACCTCTGCTCCTCTCTCGGCCGGTTGCCATAGCTCGCGCCGCGCTCATTTGCGGGGGCACCTCCTCCAGCCATATTTTTTTCAGAACAGATTTTGTGTTCTGAAAACACAAAACGGATTTTGTGTTCTGAAAGTCTGAAGTGACTTCTGAATCGGTTAGGGTTTGCATACATCGTCCAAAGTAGAGGCTTTATGCAGACCAGGAGTGACCGCCCACTTGAGGATGGCTGCGATGGGCCCACCATGCCCGATGTCCCTAGAGTCTTCTGTCCTTCTGGCCCACTCCCTCCACCTCTTCGTTGTCATCAGACGGCTGCCACAGCTTTCCTCCCCTTCTTCCAGGCATGAGGAGGGAGGAAGGGGCAAAGCTGGCCCTGGAGTTGATTCTTAGGTGGGTGCCCAGTTCCCTGGGGTGTCCGCCTCTGAGCTTGCTGTCCCCTGATGCCACCCCATCTTTTCGGCAGTGATTCCAGTTCACTTCTCTCTGGCTGTGGTTTCCTCCCCGCTGCCTCGGTTCTTCAGGGACAAGCTCTTACTGTCCAGTGCTATGTGGATGTCCATCATTTACGGAGCTGGTGCAGGAAGGGGAAGCTGGTGTTGGGCTTAGCCTGCCCTCTAGCTCTGGTCTCCCTGGCTAATTTATATTTTCTAGAACTTTCTCCCAGTCTTCCAACTCCAGCTTGCTGCTGCTGCTGTGTATCTCTAAAGTCACTTCAGAGTTGGGAGGTGGGATAGGGAAATGTGTGTGTCCAGTGGACCACCCCGAGCCCACTTTTCTTCAGTTCATGCCAGGGAAGTGGAAGCAGCTTCGCGAGATCCGGGAGAGCATTCGCTTTCTGCGCCAGGTTGGCAAGGACTGGGTGCAGCGCCGCCGGGAGGCCCTCAAGCGGGGAGAGGACGTTCCCGCAGACATCCTCACACAGATTCTCAAAGGTGCGGGGCTTCCTTAGGGCTGGAGTGGCGGGGGTGCCGGGAATATGGGGGGCGCTGTTCACCCCAGCTGTCCCCACGGGCTGGAGGACAGAGTGACTGGGTCCTTCCACGAGCTGCGGGGAGGCGGGAGGATGTGTTGTGGGTGCCCTGCTGGGCCTGAGACCCGCCTTGTCTTTCAGCTGAAGAGGGGGCCCAGGACGACGAGATTCTCCTGGACAACTTTGTCACCTTCTTCATTGCTGGTTCGTAGCATCTGCGCTGGCCAAGGGCTCAGAGCTCTGGGGACATGACGGGAAGTAGGGTCCCTTAAGCTCTGACGTGCAGCCATCTAAGCTGAGTTCTGCGGTATTGGGGGGCTAGGATGAGGGGAGTGGAAGCCAGCTCTCTGCTTGCAGGAGCCTGTGGCTCTCTCTCTCACCAGCCTCTGGCCTGGTGATGGGGTTGTTCATTCTGGGGCTCTGTGAGGCGGCCTATGCGGGGCTCAGGAGATCTTGGCTCAGGAGAGCAAGGCTCTCCTTCACTTACAATCTGCCTCAGACCAGCACAAAAAGATGTGCTAACTGAGCTGCTCCATTCACTAGCTCCTCAGATACTGTCTAGGCATTGCCCATCCACGTAGGACAAAAACACGGTGAGGACGTAAACTCCCTGTTTGGGGATGTTAGACTTGGACCCACAGCCCAGGGCAGCCCCAGCGGGAGAGAGGACTTTTGACTGGGAATTTTATAGGAATGTTGAGTACCAATAATGTTGACGGTTCACCCCGATTGGCGAAGGTTGAAGTCTCTACCCTTCGTTGGGTGACCAAGGAAGTGCTTATTTTTAGTAGGTTGTGCCTGACACTCAGCAGTTTCAGCTTTGAGTCGTCAGCAAAGGGAAGAAAGCACCGTCAGCTTTTTGTCAGCAAACTTAGGGAGGCAAGAAGGAAGTCCACTCACAAAATAGTGTGAGTGTTGCAAAATGTTCCCACCCAGAACACTCCTCCACCCGTTAGGGATTCTGCAGTGCCTCTTCCTCCAGGAAGTCCTCAGGGATTGCCCTGGCCTCCATCAGTGGCTGCCCCTGGGACCCGGAGCTCCTTTCTGCCCACACATCTCATAGAGTCCTGTATTTATTGGTGGTATTAGATGAGGTCTGGCCTCCAGCTTGGTGGGTCAGGAGTGTGTGGTTTTGCTCACCTGTGTATTGGGGGGGGGGGTGGCATGCAGTAGGTAGCTATAAAGATGGAATGAAATGTGGCAGGGGAGACTGGTGAGTAGAGGAGGGGTGGTGGGGTGGTGGGGCTGGACTGGATGGCAGGGCCATAGCAGGATGTGCTTGCTGGAGGAAGGTTGACCTCCCCCTGGGAGCCAGGATGCTAGGGGCTGAGACGAGATCCTTCTAGGCCAGCTTTGTGGCCTAGGCCTCTGCTTCCTCATCCCAGCCCATCCCTGAGCCTGTGCCCAGACACTTGGGGGGCCAGGGCCACCTCATCTCTCCTCCTCTTCCCCAGGAAACCAAAAGGCAGTTCCACAGAGCCCGGGGGGCTTCTGGCTGTTTCTGCTGCTCCCCTTAGCTCCTCTCCGTGGGGTACCCTACCTGACCTTCCACCTGGGAGCTGCTGGTTGTGAGGTGAAGGCCCTTCTCTCGCCTCCAGCAGGCTGCCCAGGTGTGACTGGGGGCTGCTTGTCACCTGTGCCCACCTGCCCCTGGAGGAAATCCGTAGAACCCGACCGGTGCCCTCAGGCAAGACGAACTCCTGAGTGACCCATCCTCTGGGGGGCCACCTGCAGCAGGACCACATGGGCCTCAGGCTGGACACCCTGCTTGGCTGGGCCCCAGCCCGTCCTCCTGCTGTGCCCTTAAGGGAGACACTTTCCTCCCCCCTTGGCTTTGTCTTCAGTCAGTGATGATGAGCATCCCGCGGCCAGGAAGCCTCAAGGACGTTGGAGGGAGGGGCTTTTGGAGTGGGAGGCCTGGATGTGTGGGGCCAACGCCACTGACTTGGCAACATGGCTGGCACAGGGAGGTGGAAGGGGACAGTGCCACACCTGTGCACCCAGCTTAGCATGGGCAGTTGTGCCCACCAGGACCACCCCAGGGCCTGGAGCCCCATGCGTAGCTGCCACCCTCCTCCTCTCCCGCAGGTCACGAGACCTCTGCCAACCACCTGGCATTCACGGTGATGGAGCTGTCTCGCCAGCCAGAGATCCTGGCCAGGTAAGGAGGGGAGCAGCGGGGCAGGGGTTTCCTTGATGTTGACTAGAAGGTAGTTGTCTGATGTCTTTTTCTAGAGGGCCACCTGCCCCTACCTCCCATGACTGAATCCTCGCCAGTGTGTCCTGCTCGCTACCCCAGGGCCTTTGCACATGCTGTTCCCTCTTATAGAAGCTCTTTTCCCTGTTAACTTTTTTTTTTTAAACTGGAAACCCCTTCTCCCCGCCCCTTTTCCTCCCACTCCCCTCCTCTGCTGCCCCTCCCCTTCTCTTTCTCCCCTCCCCCACCTGCTCCCCCTCTTCCCCACACCCTCCTCTTCTCCTCTCCCTCCTCTCGTCCCTCCTCCCCCTTCCTCTGCTCAGACACTATCTCAGCCTCCTTCCAGCCCCATTGCTCTGTCCCTGGCCAGCTCGCGTTCAGTCTATTTCAGTCATGAAACAGAAGGCCCAGGAGGGAGGCTGCAGCCCTTTCCCTCGCCACCGTAGCCCAGTGCCCGGCCAGGAGCTGGCACTGAGGACTGGACTGAACGCCAGCTGAAGTGCTGAGGAAGCCCTGCCTCCCGCTGGCCAGAGCCAGGGGTCACTCCTGGGAGATGGCATTCGAGCTGGGCCACTGGTTTCCTTAGACCCACCGTCCCCTCCAGGACTGGGGTGCAGGCCCAGGGGCAGAGCTCAGTGTGGGCGCGGGCGGCAGGGAAGCCAGAGTTCACACCAGTCACCTGCACAGCAGGGCCCCAAAGCAGTTTATTAGGGCCCAGAATGGGAGAGCAGCGTGCCCGTCATGAACCTGGAAAAGACCAGGGAGGGAGTTAAATAACAGCAGCAGCAGGAACCTGTCTGGGGCACCCCACCCCCCAGAGGCGGGCCCGAGAACCATGAGCAGCACCACCTGCCTCACAACATTGCCCCACTCCGGTAACCTCGCCCCAAACCCGTTTTTTTTTTTTTTTTTTTTTTTTTTAAGATTTATTTATTTATTTGTGCATATAAGAGCTGGGGTGCAGGCCAGAGGCGGGAGGGAGGTGAGAGGATTCACCAGAGACAGAGTGGGGAACAGAACAGGCAGATGTACCGAAATCCACTGCTGAGGGCAGCAGCAGGGGGACAGGAGAGGTCTGCTGCGCCCTGTGGGTCAGCTCCCTGGCCGGCTGGGGATCAAACTGCATAGCACGGCTCTGCTGCAGTGGCTGTCCATAGCTTCCTCGCGCTGACACTTCACCCCTTGCCCAAACCCATTTTTTTTAATGTTGTGGCAAATATACGTACACACGGCGCATTTACCATTTAACTCTTTCTATGAGTACAGATCAGTGGCATTAAGTACTTTTATATTGTTGTGCAAATATCCCCACCATCCACGACAGAATTGTCTGATCACCCCTAATTAAATTCTGTCCCCTTTAAACACAAATTCCCCACTCCCCTGGCCCAGTCCGCACCCCCACCCTCACGGGCTCCTTGCTGTGACACGGTGACCCTCTGGGGTCCTCGCCCAGGTGGAGTCAACCAGACCTGCCGCTGTCTGAGTGCGTCACTCAGCGACACATCCTCAAGGCGTGTGCAGCAGTGTCAGCTGCTCCTTTTCAAAGCTGAGTAATATTCCAGTTGCCAGCTCGCCCCTCTGGCTTATCCATGCATGTCTGTGGACACCTAGGTTGCCCCCACCTGTTCACTGTTGCAAAGAATGGGGCCACGCCACATGTAGCTGTGCACTTACCTATTTGACGCCCTCCTTGAATTCTTTGGGGGAAGGTATCCCCATGGGACTGCTGGATCAGGCAGTATGTCTACACTGCTTTCAGGAGGCACTGCCTTAGGTGACCCACATGCACTGCACTGCTTTACCTCCTCCCCCCATGATGCTCAAGGGTCTTGGATTCTTCACACGCTCCCCAACACGCATTCCCTTCCGTCTTTTGATACCAGCCTCATTCTAATGGGTGCACCCCTGGGTTTGCTCAACCCCAACCCTACCCTCATTTTCTGTTTCCAGCTGCTAGCCAGTCTGAGGCAGGCCCAATGCCCTCGTTCTGTGGTGTAATTTATCTCAGCAGCCGATTCCTGGCGGCAAACCCAGGCCCCAGAACGTGGGCCCCAGCTTGGGCATCTGGTTCGGATGTGGTGGTCCAGGATGTCTGGACAGTGGGGGGTGCGGTGTGTGCAGGTGGGGAGCCCAGGCCTCCCTCTCCACCTTCCTTCTGTCCCCTCTTCTTAAAACGAGTGTGGGGTCTCTTCTTGGAGACGAACTTGTCTTTGACTTGACAGGCTGCAGGCGGAGGTGGACGAGGTCATTGGCTCCAAGAGGCACCTGGACTGTGAGGACTTGGGGAGACTGCAGTACCTGTCTCAGGTGTGACGGGAGTGGGGGAAGTTTCTGGGCAGCTGTGGGCAATCCCTGGGGTGAAGCCAGCTGCCTCCCTGGACCCGCTCTACACAGTGCTCCAAATGCCACTGAGGCTCCCCCAGGAGAGGGACAACGTCCCGTGCCCAGGCTGCCGCAGACAGTGCTGTGGGGGCGGCTAGGCTGCCCAGGTAACGCAGCGGTGGCAGGCCAGCCCTTTAGTCAGCAGTGCTATTTGCGGAGCTGGGCCAGGCAGGGCTCCAGAAGTCCTAGCTTCGTTCCAGGGAGCCGGGCTCAGCGGGCCCTGCGGAGTGGACAGGCCACAGCAGGAGCCCTGATGGGTGTGTGGGGCATGTGGGAGCCCTGGCTAGAGGGAGCCCTGGCTCCCCTGTAAAGGCAAGGCTGACTTTCCAGGGGCCTGGGATGCAGCCGAGGTGGGCGCACCCTCAGCAGCATGGGTGGGAGTGGCCTGCGGCTGCAGGCCTGTTCCGCGGAGTCTCAACCTCTCCCATCCCCCTGCCGTGACTCCTGCAGGTCCTCAAGGAGTCACTGAGGCTGTACCCGCCAGCCTGGGGCACCTTCCGCCTGCTGGAGGAGGAGACCTTGATCGATGGGGTCCGCGTCCCCAGCAACACCCCGCTCCTGGTGTGTGGAGGCCCTGCCTGCTGCCCCCAGGGCCAGTTGGGGCCCAATCTTCTGAGGTCGAGGTTCTCGGCTGCGTGTCGCTGTGACCCACGGGGTCTTTTTCTCTCCCTTTTCACACTGTCCAGTGTGAGATTATAGTGGATGATTCTGGAAGGGTGGTGCCCCATCACAGCTGGGGATGCTGAGGCTCAGAGAGGTTGGGTCACTTTCCTGAGGTCACACAGCCGGCAAGGGGCAGATAGGCAGGTCCACGGTCTCACCTCTGATCCAGATTTGTCCTTGTTCCTTCTCTGACCCTGTGACAGCTCCTTCTCCCACGGAGGTCCACTGCCCTCCACTCCTTCCCATTTTGTTTCTTTCTTGCTCACCTGTTCTGGCAATACCGGCAGGCACAGCCGTCTCCCCTAACCCTACTGCCGCCCCGCACTAGCATGTCACCATCTGCATCATGTCCCTCTCCTGCTGTGTTCCAGGATTCGCTCTTCCGCTCAGTCTACGATGGTTTGGGAGGGTTTGTGCACAGGCACTCACCCCCCACTGTCACTGCTTGGGGTGTCCTGGTGTGTCCGTGAAGTACCCTATGCACCCATTTGGGGTGCACGGGCTTGGAGAGGCTCGGGGCTGGTAGCCTGTCCCATCCACACTTCCTGGGGCACCGAGCAAGTTAAAATGGTGGGTTTAGTCTCCAGCTCACTCTGATGGGCCACGCTGTCTCCCGGCCCCGCCCCGCCCCCGCCTCCTCTTCCTCTTCTTCCGGCTTAAAGGTCTTGGGCGTCTGCCGCCTCTGCATTTATTGTTGTGCTGCTTCACAACAACCTTTAAGGCGCCTCCCATGTGTGATGATAAAGTCTTTCCATGTTTGCTTCTCAGTGAAGCTCCTTCTTCCTTCTGTTTTTGTTGTAGAGCAACCCCGATACAAAGCGGGGTGCCTGACTGTGGGTCCTCACCCGCGCGCTTAAAAGGACTTATCAATGCTCTACTGCAGGCACACGGGAAAGGTTAATAAAAGGTTTATTTACAAGGGAAGGGGAAATGGGGAAATGGACAGCTCAGGGAGAAAAGTGGGAGACAAAGTTTTAAATGCGTCCTACCCGATCCCCCGATCTGGAATCCCAAATGGCACCCTGAGAGCTGGCCACGAGCCAGGAGCCGTGAAGCCAGGAGGCGAGCGACAGCGAGCCCCCCCAAGGCCCACGTGTTTGGTTTTTATACACAACCCTGGCTGCTCAACTCCACCCTCAGGTCCCAGCCACCTTCCCTTTGGTGGTGACAGGATTTGTCTTTCCCAATGTCTTGATGGCTTTAGTCTGGAGTGGGGGTGGGGTCCACAAAGCCTGCATGGATTAGCTCAGGACATCCTCTCCCCCTAACATTTTGAATGTTAACCTTACAGGGTAGGAACCCTGGGCTGGAAGCCTTTCCCTTGTCCTTGGGGTATCTTTCTCCTTTGCTCTTTGAAGTACTAGGTATCTCCTGCCAGTCCCCTCGTGCCTGTCGTGCTTCCACTGAGAAGCCACCGGCCATTACCTGGCGAGCCCGCACACGTTACCTGTTTCTCTTTTGATATTTTCAGTTTTCTGTTCCTTCGACTGTTTGATTGGTGGAGTGTGTCTGATGTTATTTGGTGTGAGGTCCTTTGCCCCTCTTGGATCAGAACGTCTGATTCGTTTCCCAGATTGAGATGTTTTCAGCAATTCTTTAAAAAATAACTTCTCTGCCTCTTTCTGGGGCCCGCATGATACAGATGTTATTTCCTTTTCAATGATCCCCTGTTTTTGAGTAGTAGCCTCTTTCGGAGGAGACCCAGTGATCGCACCTGTTTTTTCTGGCTCCTTCTGGTTCCCGCTGTTCCAGTTGCGAGCCCCGAGCCTCAGCCCAGGCCAGGCCAAGCCAACCACCCTCGCTGCGCATCCCCACCCCCAACCCCTTCGTCTGCGTGGAGATGATGGGCGCACACTGGGCCTCCCTCTGTCTGTGTCTGCGCCTGAATCTCTTCTTATAGGTACACAGCCAAATCGGACTACGGTCTACCCCAATAACCTCATTTTAACTTAAATACCTTTGTAAAGCCAAATACAGTCATGTTCTGAGGTTAGAACTTCAACATAGGAGCGGCGGGGTGAGCACCAGGGAGCCACGACAGGGTCCATTGTCATCTTTTTTTTTTTTTTTTTAAGATTCATTTATTTATTTATACAAGCACTGGGTACAGTCAGAAGCACGGGAGGGTGAGAGAATTCACCAGAGCCAGAGCAGGGAGCAGAGCAGGCAGAAGGACCAAAGTACACTGCTGAGGGGAGCAGTGGGTGTGGCAGGAGAGGTCTGCACGCTGTGTGGGACCCTTGCCCGGTGGCTGGGGATCAAACCGGCGCTGCAGAGGCTGCAGGCAGCTTCACGGCCCAGGGCTCAACCACTGCGCCACCAGGGGAGGCCCCCATTGTCATCTTTATGAAAGAGAATGATGAGCTTCAGCCCCAGCTGCTGGGCCCCCTTCCCAGGGCTCTGCCTGCCTTCTCCAGCCACACCAAAGCTTCATCTACTTGTTTGTTTACCCGTTCATTCCCCCCACACCCCTAGGCCAATACCTCCTGCCTTATGACCATCTTTTCTGAATGCCCTCACATATGGCAGGCTGATTCTCAACCCAGATGTGCAAACCCATGGATCTTGAGTGGGAGACTCCGCTGCCAGCCCTGCTGCTGGCTGGCTGGGTCAATGCAAGCCAGCTCCCCCTAACCCCCAACCTATGACATCCTGCTAAGATGGTAACAATGGTACTCAACCATGGTTTATTGAGAGGAGCCAACAGAATAATATATGTGCAGTATGTACCTGGCAGGCTTCTCTGGCACATAGTAGGTGCTCTTGGATGGCCTCAGCCCCTCCCCGCTATGTTCTCACTAACTGTTCAGAGCTCAGCCTCAGGCCTTCGTCCCTGCACCCCCAGCAGCCCTGGACTTTGCACCCAGAGAATCAGGGCCAGAGCCAGCTCAGAGGGCAGGAGAGGCGATGGGCCTGGGAAAGTGGCCCAATCAGGTACCATGGCATGTAGGTGAAAGGCTATTGGGCACCAAGTCAGACCTGAGTTTGAATCTGTTTGGTCACAAATTTTCCAGGGGACCTCAAGCAAGTCATAAACCTCTTTCTGAGCCTCAGTTTCCTTATATATAAAATAGGGGTCACTGCAGCTCCCCCACAGGGCAGAAGCAAGACTAGGATAACCAGCCTGTCCTCTTTCTTCCTCTTAGAGACCAATGAGACCCCCCCACTGCCGACCCAGATGGGTGGGTTGGTGGGTGGGGAGATTGGGGGTGGGATAGAGCAGAGGTGGGCACACAAGTATGGGGCACTGCTCTGCTCCGAGTCACCCCATCGGGAGCCACAGAGGGTGGGGGAGGTACTAGAGGGCCTGTTCTTGGAACCAGAGACTAGCAGACCGTCTGCCTGACAGTTCAGCACCTATGTGATGGGGCGGATGGACACGTACTTTGAGGACCCGCTGACTTTCAATCCTGACCGCTTTGGCCCGAAAGCACCCAAGTAAGTTCCTCTTTGAGCCATCCACAGCGGAATCCCTGGGGGCAGGACAGGGGTCAGTGGCCTCTGGTCTGAGCTGCCCGCGCCCACTGAGTCCACAGCCTTCCAGGGCTGTGATGTGATTGTGAGTCCCTGCTCTGCCCCCTTTTACTGGGGAGGAAACCGCAGCCCAGAGATGTTGGGTGCCTTGTCCAAAGGTGCACGGCCGGCACGCGGCAAGCCTGGGGTTATCTCAGCGCATACTGTGCGCACTGCCCATCAGCTGCGGTTCCTGGACAAGCGTCTGCGCCCCTTCCTGGCTCCTATCTGGGAATCGTGGGTACCAATGGCGGCCCTGTGAGGCGGCTGTGGGAGCGTGCGTGGTGCTGGGGTAGCGGCAGGGGACAGGCTCAGGTTGCTACCGGGCCTGACCCTGCCCTGCGAGAACCGAACACACGATCAGCTGGTGCGTGAGTGACGGGGGCTCGGGCAAGTGCCCTTTCTGAGGGCCTCAGTCTCCCCTCCATGCAGTGGGGTGATAGCTCCTCCCTGAGGGTCACAGGGGGTGAGAGATGCACGGGGCTGGCCCAAAGCCCTGCAGCTCCAACCGGAGAGGGCGCCGCCAAGGAGCTGTTGCGGCAGCTGACTTGGGTCTCCCCCCTTCACAGGCCGAGGTTCACCTACTTCCCCTTCTCCCTGGGACCCCGCTCCTGCATCGGGCAGCAGTTTGCACAGGTAGGAGACTGGGGGGCTGCAAGGGGATGTGCTGTCCTGGGCCAGGAGCATGTCTGGGCCTGCTCGGGAACCCTGGGGGCCGGGGCACCAGCTGGCCACCTGTGCATGCTGCCCTCCTGGGGTCCCTCCCCTTCCCCTGACTCTCCGCCTGCCCCTTGCGCACAGATGGAGGTGAAGGTGGTCATGGCCAAGCTGCTGCAGAGGCTGGAGTTCCGGCTGGTGCCAGGGCAGCGCTACGGGCTGCAGGAGCAGGCCACGCTCAAGCCCCTGGACCCCGTGCTGTGCACCCTGCAGCCCCGGGGCTGGCAGCCCGCACCCCCGCCCCCGCCCTGCTGAGGGGCCCAGCGTGGCATTGGACTCCTCAGGCAGGGGCCACTCCCGCCTTCTCCCACAGCCCTGCCACTGCCCCCCATGCCCCTGCGCCCCCGCCCTCCATGCTGGCTCCCAGCGGGCCCACTGCTGCCCGCCCCGGCGCTCCCTGCCACTGCAAACTGCACCGCCCTTCCAGGGCTGGCCCTCCTCACTTCTTCCAGCTGCCACCCAGATGTGCTGCCCCCACCCCCGCTTCTTTGCACAGGCCACTGCTTCTGCTGAGATACCCTAACTCTTGCTAAAGCTCTCTTGACACCCTGAAGTCCTCTTCAAGCTTCACCTCCTGCAGGAAGCCATCCCTGCCACCCCCGGCCGGCCAGGGGCCCCCCTCCTGTCCCTCGGTCACCTGTGCTACCTCTAACACCACTGACCACACCATATCGTGAGTGTCCTTCGACGGGCCCGACCGCCCTGCCAGGCCGAGCCACCCGGCGTCGGGCTCTGCGTGTGTCTCCGAGCCCACGCCTGTGCCCGCCCGGGGATGCAGGGCCAATGCTCAATAAACATGTATCGACTGCATGAATGAACAGCCGCCCCGCCAGGCGCTCTGGCCCGTGTGCTCCTCTGTCAAACAGGGGTGATGTGGAGGGCGATCTCTGTGGGGCTCCTCCGAGGGACTGCGCACAGGAGGGAGGTGTCTGCGGCAGCCTGTTCCCTGTCAGAGGCGCACCCCTAACCCTGCTTCTGGGTGCAGTGGGAGGCAGAGCTCCCAGGCAGGGTTTTGAGAGCTGTTTGAGCTGGGGGGACCCTGGGGCCTTTGGGGTCTAGCCCACTTTCAACAAGGGCACCCCAGGTGGCCCCACAGACACCAGCCCCCCAGAACCTCTCCCGGGGGCAGCTGGGTGGAGCTGAACCCGGATGCTTGGCCACGTGCCTCAGCAGCCCCTGCACTGTGTGCTGCCCCTCCTGGCCGGCTCCACGGGTGAGGCTGACCTCGTGGTGGTGGTGGAGAAGCTGACTCTTCCTCTTCGGGGCCCAGGGCCCCCCAGGAGCGGTGCTGCAGGCTGTGCCATGTGGCCAGGCCACCAAGCAGAGGGCCTGCCCAGACGTCCCATGTGCGGAGAACAGCCCTCCCCAGCCTGGTCCCGCTGCGCCTCTTGCGGTCCTCACCACAGCCTTGACCCCAGCTTTGAGGGAGCACCCCACACAGCACACGGGGAAACTGAGTCTTGGGGAGGAAGTGGCTTGTGCAGTGCAGCTGGGCAGGCTGCACTGGGGCAAGTTGGGAGTGGGGCACAGCAGGCAGGGTCCCTAGCCTGGGGGGCTGTGGAAGCCAGTGTGAGCAGAGGACCCGGCTGGGGACCCCTCTGCTGTGCCGATTCCTTGCAGGGTCCTCCTGCTCCCCCAGCCCCTGCCCAACCTGAGCCCTGCCCAAGCTCTACCCCACTGTCTCCATTTCTAGCTCCCTTCTGGGGGTCCCCCAAACGCCCTGTGGCTCTGAGAACTGGGAAGTGGGTCAGATCACAGACTGGGTCAAACCCCCGGCCTACCCCGGCTAGCCATGTCACTCCCCCTTCTGATGCCTCAGTTGCCTCGAGGTGAAACGGGATCTCGATGGCACCTTCCACACTGGGTTGGTGCAAGAGAGGAAGGAGAGACAGGAAAGCATGCTGGTGGGCGTCTCCGCCAGGCGCATGGCCTCACGCCCCTTGCTGGTGCCCGCAATCACCCACTCACCACTGTCTCCTCCCGTCTACTCCCCGGCCCTGCGCTGCCCCCAGGGACCTGCCTGGGGTGACACCCAGTCCTCTGGAGCCTCTCACCAGGGCCTCCTGCAGCTCCTCCCCAGCCCCACGCCACAGGACCCCGCCCTGCCCCGCCAGCCCCCTGTGCTCTCTGCTTCCTGCCTTGGCTTGGCGCAGGTCCTATCGGGCAGCAGTTAAAGGACCACGGCCCTGAGGCTAAGCACCCCAGGGTCTCGACCTGGCACTGTCTGGAGGGTCCCTCTGGAAGCGTCAAGGAGCCTTTGCTGTCCCTGACTTGGCTACCGTCTCCATTGCTAAGCCCGGGCCTCTCACCACTGCTTCTTCAAGTGCTCAAGCCTGGCCCGCCTCACAGGTGAGAAAGTCCAGGTTTCGGCCGTGCAGCCATGAGCCCTTTGCCCCGCGGCCTTCCCCAGGCTTGTGAGTCCCTGCAGGCCTGAGCTTCCCTGTGGTGCTGGGAGCCAGGGGTTGAGGTGCGTGGGGAGAGGGGCCCAGACCTCCCCAGCTCTGCTGTCAGGCGGGTCAGGGCCCTGTCCTCACTGACCAACTTCCTTCTCCGTAAACCGGCCTCCCAGGGGCGGGCGGCTCTCAGGCCTGGCTGCACAGACGAGTCACCTGGGGCAGTTAGATTCATTTCTGATGTGGGGTCTGGAAACTCCTCTTTTTAAGCCCCCCACACACACCCAGGAGACCCCATGTGCACAGGCTGATGCCAACCTCCCGGGCAAGGGTGGGATGGATGGGGTCCAGCCTGAGTCCTGTCGCCAGACCTGAAATTCTACTCCCACCTGCTACTGACCATGGAGCTTGGGCCTCAGTCTCCCCATTTGTAAGGGAGGACAAATAATAGGACGCACATACTAGGGTTGGAGGGAAAATCTGGAGCTCTCTACCTGGAGGGGTCTTGGCACAGAGCCGGTCCGGGGGGTGGGTGCTGGGTGCTCCCGCGGGAGTAATGGTCAAGGGGTGAGCAGGCGTGCAGTTCCCAGAAGCGCCGCACGGTGGCGCCCGGGCCAGCGCCCTGCGGCCGCGGTAGCCGAGTGCAAGGCGCCTTCCCTCGCCCCCAGGGGTGCGGCCGCTCTTAGCAGCCCCCTGGGAAGGTGCGGGGTGGGGCTTGGCCCCTCCTGGTAATGATGGCTGCCCAGGCGGGTGAGCTGCCCCTCATGCGGGCCAGAGTTAGAAAGGTCCAGGCCCGGTGGGCCCCAGAGGGCAGGATGACACGGAGGGGACAGCACCTGGAGGGACTCAGGGCAGGGAAGAGGCACCTGTGGCTCGTGGGCGTCTCACCCCCTCCTCGAGGCAGGACCCCTGCATCCTCAGCTGGCTGGCTGAGGACGTGTGACCCCAGGAGGTCGGAGACCCCGGGGCCGGGCAGCTCCTAAATCCACATCTGCCGGGCCTTGCCCGGCTCCAGACAGCCCGGCCATCTCCGCCTGGACATCCCAAAATAGCCCCTGACTGGCCGGGCAGCCTGAGGGTATTTCTGGCCACGGGGGACTCACTGTGGTGGGGGGGGTCATCTCTCTGAAGCCCTGCCCCACTGAGGGGCAAGATGGAGTCAAGACCCTTTCTTGGCCTGGCGCTTTAAACAGTTCTGGCACTTTGTTCTCATGGCCCTGGTGTGGCCCACTCTGGGCAGCCCTTGGTGATGGGGGCTCCTGGGCCAGCGGGGCACCACGGCCACCCTGGCAGGAGGCAGTCTGGGAGGCCAGAGGCAGTCTGTAGGCCTGAGTGGCCACTCCAGCTGGGGGTGCTGGGGTAGAGGAGGTCCCAGCTACCCCGTCTGGGCTGGCTCAAGGGGCAGCACTGTCCCTGCTGTGCCCGGACCCCTGGACAAGGCCCTTGGGGCAGGGTGGCCAGGCCCGGTGGGCACTTCCTGTGGTCTGGTTACCCAAGCAGGATGTAGAAGGCCCTGGGTGGGCAAAGGACTTACCTCCCCTGCTCGCCTCTCCGGGGCCCAGCTCCAGGGGAGGCGGAGGATGGCACTGCGGCGGGACGCCACTCCCTGCCTCAAGCCCAGCTCGGAGGACTGTGTCCCTGCTCTTCGGGTGACTGAAGGCAAGGGCCTGGCCCGGAGTGGGGGAGCCTGGTGAGGAGGAGGCAGGGATGACTGTCTCCATGGTCTCGATGGTGGTGACAGCTCACCCGCTGGGCACCTGTGGCATGCCAGCCCCGGTCCAGCTGGTCCTTCTGCAGACCAGGCCCCAAGACGTAGGGGGCCTCACATCCAGAGGCCCCCTGGGTGGGCTTCACCCCTGCAATGAGGCGGGCTCTCCCAGGGCCCCCTCCTGAAGCCAGGGTGCCCATGTCTCACGCTCAGAGGCCCCTGCTGTGGTGGATGGGCTGCCCTGACTTCTTTCTTCGGTGGGAGTGTGGAGGCCAGAAGTTAGTCCAGGACCTCGGGGCGGGCGTCAGTCAGGGGGCCTGGTATGGATGGGGCCTGCTGTGGGAGGCCAGGACACACGTGTGAGCCCGTGGATGTGTTTGCGTGTGCGCGAGCCTCTCCTGCAGGCCTGTGCGGGCGTGTGCCCAACTGTGTCTGCCTGTCTCAGGCCAGGTGACCTGAGCTGTGAGGAGGTATTGGAGGGGCGGGCAGGCCCCGTCACCCATCACTCACCCGGCCACCCCACACCAGGCACCCTCCAGCCACGGGCCTGGGTGCTGTGTCCTCCAGCACGGGCTACCACTATCCTTCCTCCCCTCGCGGCCACTCGGCCCCGGGCCGGGCTCCCATTCACAATTGTCCTGCCTCCACTTACGGGGGGCTCCAGGCCTAGAAGACGGGTCTCCAGCAGGCAGGGTCCCTGTGAGTGGGGCCTCTTCCTGACCCCGCCACATTCAGCACCCTCCTGCCCTTCCTCGAGCTGGGCCTGGCCCTTCTCTGTCCCTCTATCACCCCTTGGCCCACCGGTCACCCTTCCCAGTGCCGGTCGGTGGCGCCAATCTTTCTCTGGGCAGGTGGGGCTGGGCACTGAGCACACGGTACCCGTGGTCACTCCCAGACCGTAGACTCCCTAGAGAAGTGGGGTGATGGCTTCCCAAGTCCGCTGCACCACATCCATCCCACACCCCATTTCCTTCAAGAACCCCAGCTCTGGCCGAGACCACGCAGAGGCCCCCTCCTCCATCCTGCCCGCCGGCTCTCCTCCAGGCCTTCAGCAGCGGGCTGGGCGTCACCTCCGACCAGCCTGGCCTCGGCCACTCAGCCCTGTCCTTCCTCCGGCCCCTGCCCCAGGAGCCTGGGCGCTCCCAGACAGCAGCTGCACGTGGTGGGCATCCACCCAGTAGGTCCACCCAGTAGCTGAACACGCATGAGACACGGGAGCCCCAGGACTGACCCACACCAGGACACAGATGGCCGTGGAGAGTCTCAGTTTCGGGAAC